AATAAAATGCAGTAGCCTCTCTGGACAGAAACAAGACACTGATTTACACTGACATAATGCAGCTGATTCCTGATAAATGCAATGGCTTGGAAAAACTGTTCAAAAAGGATGACCCCTTTTTGAAATGTCACATAGAAGTAGGTGCTGAACATTGTAATTACCTAGGCTAGGGGACAGCATGGGGTCAGTATGGAACCAAGGAATCGTAGTAGTCGGACATTCCTCCATTCTTTTCCATCATTAAACCACATTCTCCTGCAGAGGCACAGAGAGCAGCTTTTAGCAGCCAAGACCAATCCATAGCAATCTGGTAGTCTGCTGAAATCATGCATTATTTAATGAGGGAAGGAAGCTGATCTTTGATCAGCGGCTCTCTGTCTGTAGCTGTGTGTGGGGGAACAGCAGGGTAGTAATGATGCTGACCTAAGAGCAGCACTTTGACCACACTTTGTGTGTAGCCTACAGGTATGTGCATGTTTGCCTGTGTCTGTGCTTGTATGTGTATAGTTAACTTGTGCGCATATGTGCACGGTAGGGCTGCACGATATGGGAAAATAATCAAATTGCAATGTTTTTTGTTAACCAAATATTGCGATTTGTGATTTTAGTTGCGATTTAGGTCAAAACTCTTTGGTGAACTGTTGTAATCATAAAAATACAATTAGTATTCCGATTCTATGGTTGGTGTTTGGCATGACAACTAATGAGAAAAACGGGTATAGTAAAAGTTTTTGTGACAGGGTAGGAACCAAAGTGTTGGTCAGTTTCCCTGGGGACCCATATTACATTTGAATGTGACATGAATGGCGTTTCAAAAACATTGCAGCCTCTTGCGACATGTCAATATTGCAATTTAGATACACGTGATTAATTGTGCAGCCGTAATGCATGGCATGCATGCAACAGTTAGACTGTGCTTGCGCGTGTGTGTGCACGCTGGAGGGCCAAGTTAGGTGTCCATTTCACCTGCAGAAGACTTGCGGTCTCCAAAACCATTGCTCGATGTCTGGAGGTATCTAAATATGGCACTTGCTCATGCACCCCCTCTTCTCTCTTTCTGAACCACTGGTTTTTAAATGTAAATCCAGATTTGCATTGATCCTAATGGCAAGCCTTTCCAATGTTAATCGTGTTAATCAAGCGTTAGCCTAATCAAGCGTTACACGAGAACAGATCCATTATGTAGCCTAGGCTACTGTCAGACAACCCCTTTTCGAAGTCGACTACAGTCGTAATGTAATAACCGTCAAACGGGTTTGAAGTGGTAATGGTTTTCACTGTCATGTTGTAAAGGTCATGTTTCAACCGTGTCAGTCTTAAATGGTTCAGTATTGAGGGGGTTGGGTTGGTGGCAGTTCTAGACTATTTACATTTACGTCATTTAGCAGACGCTCTTATCCAGAGCGACTTACAAATAGACTATCTCTCATACAGAATAAGTTCAACTGTGTTTTTGTGAGATATAGGCCAATTTTTAGGCCTAATACCCTTCTTCCCATAAGTGAGGACCTAGGCCTACTATATCATTATTGGGACATGTGATTGAGCTTCCCCTGCTCATCCACTCACTGGCTTCATTGGAGTAGGACCATTTGCCCCGAGGCCTACGGTATATGCTGACATGAGGTCAGTTTTGCTTCCTCCCTCCTAAGTGGTTAAGGCTATGAATAGAGGAGTGTAGACTGATCTTAGATCTCAGTTGGTCACTTCCAGTCTCTCTAGAGAAACGAGATATCACCTGACAACATTTACATTTGACATTTTAGTCATTTAGCAGACGCTCTTATCCAGAGCGACTTACAGTTAGTGAGTGCATACATAATTTTTTTATTTTTCATACTGGCCCCCCGTGACAACTAGGGCAAATAACAAGCGCAAGTGTCTAAACGGTACCTTGTTAACCTAGCTGCTTCCAAAGCCATCTCCATCCCTCCGTGACTTCTCCTGTGACTGTGAGTGGGATACCATGGTCATGTGACGCACGCAGTTGTGGCGTCTTAGCCTAGTGGAAACATCACCATTCGCCTTGTTACATCACTCGGAGACCATTACCCAGGGTCTATTGCTATAATAATGGTTAAATGATCATTGAACCACATAAAGGTATACAGTTTAATAGATAAAAAGCCTAGGAAGCTTGTAATAAGGAAGGACTATATTCGTTAAAGGATATCATAAACAACAGTTATGTTTATATGCCGAAGGTATGGTTGTCTTTACAGGAAGAATAGCTCACCTATATACTGTAGGTAAAAGGTACAGTATGTTTGTTTGGTGAATTCATTTTATGTTTGTAAGCCAAAGGGATAGTTGTCATTCCAGTATGACTATCCTACCTATAGGCGAAAGGTAGCCTGTGTTTGGTCCATTCTACACAGTTGAATTCCCAGTATGGCTTCCCCATCCATTGTTTTTCTCGCTTGCCATTATTTCCTAGACAGTCTCTTGTTTATGGTCAATGACACAAGCAGTCATAAGACAAGCCTGTATTGTGCGTTGTCATATGTGGGCTGGATGATGATCTCACTCTGTTTGCTCTCTATCGCCGTCCAGACCAAGGGTCATATGATGAACCAACTAGACACCAGTCCCAAATGTCACTCTGTCCCATGGTTTTCAATCCATTCCTAGAATTACAAATAGGGAATTAGGCCTAGATGGGACAATCTAATTATATGGATATTTTGGTCCCTCATAGCTTGTTGTGAAAGTGTTTGTTCCCATTCTGTGGCAATCACAGAGAGTACAATCCATCCCACTTAGTTTCTATTTCCGTCCCCACGTCAACAGGCTTCAAACAAGCTCCACTTTCTCCTTTATAAAGGATTCATCTTCAAAGAATTAGTCTGCCATTTTATGTATAGCTCTGAGGGGTGTGTGAGTGCATGTGAGAGAAAGACACAGAAAAGGAGGGAGAGTGTGTCTCACACACACACATTTGTATCCCTGCATATGATGTGTGTTTTTAAATCAAGTGTGTGTGTGTGAGAATGTCTCACCTGGTGGTGTCACAGCGGGGTTATAATCACTAGGTGTGGGTGTGGGGTCACCGACCTGCTGAGAAGGCTGGCGCAGAACAAGCACAGAGAGACACAGCATGGCATTCTGTCAGCCTCTACCCACTCAACCCTTTCTCTCCCTCTGGGAATGGGAAACAGTGATTCATATTTAGATAACCATGCATTCATCCATATAGCCATGCAGATTTTGACGAATCTACCATTCCCTGTCTTCGTTTATTAGGCTACCTTCTAACCTTCCTTGCTGCTTTACCTTCTTGCATTCTTGTGATATCGTAGACTGTCTGTAGACTCTTACAATCGATTCAGTGCTATTTATAGGGATTGCCTTGTGATTTAATCAAATCAAACTTTGTCACATGCGCCGAATACAACAGGTGTAGACCTTACTGTGAAATACTTGCTTACAAGCCCTTAACCAACAATGCAGTTCAAGAAAGAGTTAAGAAAATATTTACCAAATAAACTAAAGTAAAAAGTAACACAATAAAATAACAATAACGAGGTTATATACAGGGGGTACCGGTACCGAGTCAATGTGCGGGGATACAGGTTAGTCGAGGTAAATTGTACATAAGGGTAGGTAGGTAGGGGTAAAGTGACTTTACATAGATAATAGACAGCGGGTAGCAGCAGTGTAAAAACAAATGGGGGGGGGGGGGGTCAATGTAAATAGTCCGGATGGCCATTTGATTAATTGTTCAGCAGTCTTATGGCTTGGGGGTAGAAGCTGTTAAGGAGCCTTTTGGTCCTAGACTTGGCGCTCCGTTACCGCTTGCCCGGCGGTAGCAGAGAGAACAGTCTATGACTTGGGTGACTGGAGTCTTTGACAATTCTTTGGGCTTTCCTCTGACACCGCCTAGTATATACAGTGGGGGAAAAAAGTATTTAGTCAGCCACCAATTGTGCAAGTTCTCCCACTTAAAAAGATGAGAGAGGCCTGTCATTTTCATCATAGGTACACGTCAACTATGACAGACAAAATGAGAAAACAAAATCCAGAAAATCACATTGTAGGATTTTTTATGAATTTATTTGCAAATTATGGTGGAAAATAAGTATTTGGTCAATAACAAAAGTTTCTCAATACTTTGTTATATACCCTTTGTTGGCAATGACACAGGTCAAACGTTTTCTGTAAGTCTTCACAAGGTTTTCACACACTGTTGCTGGTATTTTGGCCCAGGGTGGTATTTTAGGTTATCTTTCACCAGCCCTGCCAGCCAGCTGATCACGCAGTGTGGTGGCCTTGCTTGTCAGGAGACTGTGTGTTTCCTGTAAGAGCTGTGTTGGACTCCATCCCCTATCAAAGGAAAGGGCTCAGCTAGGGGAAGTCTTTAAGGGCTTAATTACATTTCCCCTCATTGATTTGGCCCTGCTTTCATGAAAGATATTATAGGGGCCATCTCATAGGAATCGGCTACTGTAACATGGCTTGATTAACTTTTGTTAATTGCTAAGTAATATGCCTTCTAGCCCTGCTATTATAGTAGGTTCCTCCTCCAAACCTCGATTTAACAGTCTAATGCCCATTGTTGAACCCATTCTTTGTTCTGGCTGAGTTGAGATTGTCTGATAATGACACGTTATGGGGACATCATGTACTATATAGCCTACATGTCTAACATTGCCCTCCTGTTTGTGTAGGTTCATGTTCATGTGTGTGTATTTGCATAGGCCTATGTGTGGTCGATAATATGAATACCCATTTAACACTGTATACTCTGTTTGTAGTTGAGAGTTTGTTTGGTAATGATACAGTATGGGGACATGTGTGTAACCTTTGCCCTCTCCCTGTCTCTCTCCCTAGGCTGTGACCCAGCGGGAGCACTGTGATGGCCAGCCGCCACAGTAGCCATGCAGACAAAGTCAAAGCTCCTCCTCCCTCAGCCTCACGGCCGCCAGCCGTGCCCAAGCTCCACGTCCAGGGCTCGCTGTCCCGGGAGTCCATCACCATCCACTTCTCGCCCTTGGGCAAGGAGGAGGAGGAGGAGGAAGAGGAGCTCTATGGGGCAGTTGTGTCCTCTCCTCCTCCCCCTGCTGGAGCCAAGGAGGACCCAGGCATTGTGACGGCCCTGGAGGCCAGCGAGGATCTGATCCTTGAAGGAGCTGGGTTGTACTCTGAGGCTCAGGCTGCAGTTCTGCCTATGTCGTCCTCAACTGGTCCTCAAAGCTCCATCACCTCCACATTACCCTATGAACCGAAGAGCTCCTCTCCTTCCCCTGCCTCCACCTTCAACTCCTCTCCCTCCAAATCTAGCGACAAACCCTTCTTCAGCCTGGTCAAGTCTCTATCCTCTGACATCGTCGAGCCTTCTGAGATTGCCTCCATCTCCCCCGCTGCCCCCATTTCCGTGCGCCACCGCCACCTGATGAAAACCCTGGTCAAGTCACTCTCCTCTGACACCTCCCAGGAATCCCCACCTTCCTCCTCCTCCTCACCCTACCGCCTCTCGGACTCCCGCCTCAACCTGCACCTCTTCAAGCAGTTCACCCAATCCCGTGCACCGGTGGGCGTCGTCGCCGGTGGTGACTCCAAGACCGCCCCCTCCTCGACGCTCACCTCCCCAGACAGCCTTAACTTCTTCAAGGCGTCCGTGGAGGCAAGCATCGAGGACACTAAGCGCCGTTTCTCCGAGGCCATCTCCGAGCCTCTCCAGCTGTTCAATAAGATCATGGAGGACAAGAGCGGTGGCATTGGCAGCAGTGCCTTCCGGTCCAAAGCGCTCTCGTCCAGTGCTTCGGAGCTCACCTGCCTGGCCTCCCTCAACAACGGCCAACCGGAGAGCAACAACAACAACTACAGCATCAAGGAGGAGGAAACCGGGGGCGACTGGGAGTCCGAAGGAGCCGCAAACGGAGCCAGCTCCATTGGCTTGCCAAATCCCACCGCTGACACCAGTCACACCAGAAGTCCTAAGATGTCTTCCTCCGCTTCCGCCTCTCTCGGCCTGGACAAGTGCTCCATGTCAGCCCTGGCCAAGCTGGAGGACGAGGACTTCTGCATCCTGTCTAGTGAGGACTTTGAGGATACCGAGGGGGATTCTGGAGACAGAACGGACAGTACATGCAGCCAAGTCAGACTGCCCCCTAGTGGCAGTCCGGAACTATGCAGTGACGACAAGTCAGAGGGAGAAGATCCACCACCCAGCATTCCACACTACACCCTGATCATCATTACAGCGCTGGTCTACGGGTACTTTGTGTTGCCACTGCCCACCTACGTTGGGGGTATGCTGCTGGGAGTGGGACTAGGGTTCATGCTAGCTATCGCTGTGGTGTGGTTGGCCGGACCCAAGTCTTCTGGCAATCGCACCAGACATCCCAGACACCAGGGGAAGCTGTGGAACATGGCCCAGCTGGGCATCAAAGAGCCAAGCATCTTCAAGGTGAGGAACTCCATGGTCTTATAACCTATTGGGCCTCTAACCCCTCCTCAGGGACCCCCAGATGTTTCACAATTTAGTTGTACCCTAGAACTACCACACACCTGATTCACTAATCAAGGGCTTAATGATTAGTTGAGAAGTTGAATCAGTAGTGCTAGCTCTGGAATAGAGCAAATTCATTGCGGGTCCCCGAGGAGAGGTTTGAAAACACTGTAAAACCAATTCACTGAATATATGCAGAAATCCATGGTCACACAAATAGGCAGTGGTGCTGAACACAGACCCAAAATGAAAGATTCCTAAGCCCATGTTATTATTACGTAGCTAATGGCTGGATTTCTATTCGTTAACAATGAGAGACCTGCTGTGGTAAAGTATCACGTTGAACTTTCCCAATAGTTGTGTTATATCAGAGCAAAGCTGCTTTAGACCGACCATTAGAAAGATTGATTTCTCAGGGTTGACCTGTAATTCACTAGCCTTGATCCCATTAGTGTTCATTGTAAATTTAAGAAGAAGCCTGATGACCGTCTTGTAGCCTGGTCTGCGTTTGTCAATGTAATACTGTTTACATAAAAGCACCTTAAAATACTTTCACATGAAACTTCCAATGTTCTCAAATTTTTCAGAAATCCTAGTTTAGTCCCTCCTAATTCCAGGAATCCTCCAACTGGGACTTCTTAATAACCTGGGAACTTTGGGAATTGTGCAACCCTTGTAGAGAATTAATTGTAAGAGCACTAGACCAGGTCTCTTTTTATACTGACTGATTACCTACATGTAACTGCCAAAATAAAGGAAACACCAGCAAAGTTTCTTAATAGGGCGTTGGGCCAACATGAGCCGCCAGAACAGCTTAAATGCACTGTGGCATAGATTCTACAAGTGTCTGGAACTCTATTGGAGGGATGCGACACCATTCTTACATGAGAAATTCCATCATTTGGTGGTGTTTTGTTGATGGTGGTGGAAAATGCTGTCTCAGGCACTGCTCCAGAATCTCCCATAAGTGTTCAGTTGGGTTGAGATCTGGTGACTGAGACACAAACAGACTCTCACTCACACACACACACACACACACGCACACACACACACACACACACACACACACACACCCTATGCTCCTTTGAAACCCCTCTTTCAAAGTCACTGAGATCTCTTCTAGACATTGTAGACAAAATAATGGGCAAAAGGGCATCTTTATATGTGACACTAAGCATGATGGGATATTCATTTCTTAATTAACTCAGGAACCACACCTGTGTGGAAGCACCTGCATTCAATATATTTGTATCCCTTATTTACACAAGGTTCCTTTATTTTGGCAGTTACCTGTACAACGTTTGCGCACCCATCATGATCCGTGACTGGCTTAAAGGGATACTTCGGGATTTTAGCAATGAGGCCATTTATCTACTTCCCCAGAGTCAGATGAACTAGTGGATACCATTTTATGTCTCTGTGTCCAGTATGAAGGAAGTTAGAGGTAGTTTCGGAAGCCAATGCTAACTAACGTTAGCACAATGACTGGAAGTCTATGGGTATCTGCTAGCATCCTGTCACAGACCCTTCTATTATTCTCCTCTAGTTTCCTTACTAGTATCTCATCTAGACAAATGCAGACGACTGTTGTAACAGCACACATAAAGTGCCATTCAGAGAAGAAATACGCCTATTTGAGCATCAAATGAGATCATCCACGCTTCGACTCTCTCACCGCTTTGATGTCAGAGGGAGCAAAAGAGCGAGACTCCGAGGCAAATATACCTCATCCTCCATTGTTAGCGCTAATGGACAATAAATTACCTGAGGGAAGTTGTATTAGTGCTAGCCAGCTGGCTCATTTAGCAGCATTAGCACTCAAATGGATCAGACAGAGAATAGTCACTGTGGCTGTATATCATACTCAAAGCCTGTTAGCCTACTCTCTCTTCACTGCTAATGCCCTCCATAGCTTGCCAGGCAGTAGTAGACTCTGTGGGAAAGTGATCACCCCATGTCCCGTGGCCCTCTTCCAAATGTTGTCACCTCTGGACTGACTGGCTGCGAAAGCCAGTCGGTCAGTCACATAATATAATGGAGAGGGTTCACTGTCTTGTTTGACCCCCACATATTGGAAAGCTGATGATAACATCACCGGCAGGCAGCACACAAACACATTAACTGGCAGGCTTTACTGTCCCGGGCTTGGCCTTCTCAGTCAAAGGGACAGTGAATGGTGGTGTTATGGACACAAAGGGGATAGGCTTTGTTCAGGACAAGTATGAGAATTTGGTGACAACAATGTCTTCTCTCTCTCTTTCTCTCTCATTCTCTCACATGCCCGCTCTGTCTCCTCTCTTTTTTCTGTCTTTATTTCTGTCATTCTATCTCTCTCCCATCTCCCTCTCTTCATATCTAGCTGTGGGAGCATTAGACCCAGCACATCTAAGCCTATATCAAGTTTCCTGCAGGAGACTTGTGTGTCTGTGATGGCAAAGCTCTAGGGGCCATCTTGATCTCTGTGAGGAGGAAGGGACGAGATGAGACTAGAGGGATGCGTCCTAAATGGCACCCTATTCCTTATATAGTGCACTACTTCAGACTCGAGGGGTAGACGAGGGGTAGAGGCAGCAAGTTACTAGATGACTGCTGTCGAGATTTTACTATCCTCTTCAATCTACTGCCGTTGGATGAGGATTTTATTAGTGGTTCAAGGACAAACCAGCGGTGCAATATTTCTCAACACATGTTGGAATTGTATAACGTGAACAATATGCACTAGTTGTAAAAGTGATAATAGCCACTAGGAGCAACCAGTTTCAATCTTCACTATACCTAACCCACAGTGCAGACCATCAGGGTTGAGGTCAAGTCATGGATTGTTGTGTGTTTGAATCTCTGTGATGGCATCACCATTCTTTGAAGGTTAAGCATTTTAGAAGTTACTGGTCCCGTCTGTGGCATAGGACATGGTCAGGGATTTAGACCAACTTGATTTCCACCCCTTAGATTTGATTAGGCCTAGTAGTTTAATTAAGCTCTTGGTAGCAGTGACATTAGAACACACACACACACACACACACACATATACACACACACACACAGACAGGGTGCAGTCTAAGCCAGCAGGAGTGATTTATGAGGAAAACACAGCTAGATAAATCATAAAGTTTTAAAATTGACCTCAACACAAAATATGTTTGTAACCTATTTTTCCAAAAATAAATGGAATTTTTGACCCACCCACTACATCATTTTGGTCTAACTACACACATGGGGCGCCCTAACTCACAAAGAGACTGGGTTTTCATTTTAATACATAGTGCCTGTTCATAAATTGAAATGACAACGCAAACAAACCCAGTGAAGGAGCTGAAAGCAACACACACACACACACGTAGGCAGAGGAACTTCAAAGGCTATCTGCTAAGCCAGAGAAACAATGAAATGATTGGCTCAGGTCTATTGGCAAGACATGCATCATACTTCTCAACAGCCTGCTGTGAGCATTACCAAATCCTTCTGATCCAGCCTATCCGTTCTAGACCATTTTTACACACACACAAACTAAATCACAATGATTGTGATTTAGTTTCTATACATAGACGGAATCAAATGTTCATGCATTTAGCATTAATTTGCTTTGTCAGCTGCATAAAATCATTGTAAAGTCTTTCCGGAAGGGTTCAGCAGGGCAAGAGGTTCATACAGTGCATTCAGAAAGTATTCAGACCCCTTGACTTTTTCCACATTTTGTTACTTTACAGCCTTATTCTAAAATGTGTGTGTGTGTGTGTGTATGTGTATATATATATATATATATATATATATATATATATATATATATATATATATATATACACACACACACACACACACATACAGTGGGGAGAACAAGTATTTGATACACTGCCGATTTTGCAGGTTTTCCTACTTACAAAGCATGTAGAGGTCTGTCATTTCTATCATAGGTACACTTCAACTGAGAGAGACGGAATCTAAAACAAAAATCCAGAAAATCACATTGTATGATTTTTAAGTAATTAATTTGCATTTTATTGCATGACATAAGTATTTGATACATCAGAAAAGCAGAACTTAATATTTGGTACAGAAACCTTTGTTTGCAATTACAGAGATCATACGTTTCCTGTAGGTCTTGACCAGGTTTGCACACACTGCAGCAGGGATTTTGGCCCACTCCTCCATACAGACCTTCTCCAGATCCTTCAGGTTTCTGGGCTGTCGCTGGGCAATACGGACTTTCAGCTCCCTCCAAAGATTTTCTATTGGGTTCAGGTCTGGAGACTGGCTAGGCCACTCCAGGACCTTGAGATGCTTCTTACGGAGCCACTCCTTAGTTGCCCTGGCTGTGTGTTTCGGGTCGTTGTCATGCTGGAAGACCCAGCCACGACCCATCTTCAATGCTCTTACTGAGGGAAGGAGGTTGTTGGCCAAGATCTCGCGATACATGGCCCCATCCATCCTCCCCTCAATACGGTGCAGTCGTCCTGTCCCCTTTGCAGAAAAGCATCCCCAAAGAATGATGTTTCCACCTCCATGCTTCACGGTTGGGATGGTGTTCTTGGGGTTGTACTCATCCTTCTCCTTCCTCCAAACACGGCGAGTGGAGTTTAGACCAAAAAGCTCTATTTTTGTCTCATCAGACCACATGACCTTCTCCCATTCCTCCTCTGGATCATCCAGATGGTCATTGGCAAACTTCAGATGGGCCTGGACATGCGCTGGCTTGAGCAGGGGGACGGCGTTAGGGTGTTACTAATGGTTTTCTTTGAGACTGTGGTCCCAGCTCTCTTCAGGTCATTGACCAGGTTCCTGCCGTGTAGTTCTGGGCTGATCCCTCACCTTCCTCATGATCATTGATGCCCCACGAGGTGAGATCTTGCATGGAGCCCCAGACCGAGGGTGATTGACCGTCATCTTGAACTTCTTCCATTTTCTAATAATTGCGCCAACAGTTGTTGCCTTCTCACCAAGCTGCTTGCCTATTGTCCTGTAGCCCATCCCAGCCTTGTGCAGGTCTACAATTGTATCCCTGATGTTCTTACACAGCTCTCTGGTCTTGGCCATTGTGGAGAGGTTGGAGTCTGTTTGATTGAGTGTGTGGACAGGTGTCTTTTATACAGGTAACGAGTTCAAACAGGTGCAGTTAATACAGGTAATGAGTGGAGAACAGGAGGGCTTCTTAAAGAAAAACTAACAGGTCTGTGAGAGCCGGAATTCTTACTGGTTGGTAGGTGATCAAATACTTATGTCATGCAATAAAATGCAAATTAATTACTTAAAAATCATACAATGTGATTTTCTGGATTTTTGTTTTAGATTCCGTCTCTCACAGTTGAAGTGTACCTATGATAAAAATGACAGACCTCTACATGCTTTGTAAGTAGGAAAACCTGCGAAATCGGCAGTGTATCAAATACTTGTTCTACCCACTGTATATATATTATTATTATTTTATTTTTTATCTCATCAGTCTACACATAATACCCCATAATGACAAAGCGAAAACAGGTTTTTAGAAATGTTAGTACATTTATTACAAAGCGAAAACAGAAATACCTTATTTACGTAAGTATTCAGACCCTTTGAGACTATGAGACTCGAAATTGAGCTCAGGTGCATCCTGTTTCCATTGATCATCCTTGAGATGTTTATACAACTTGATTGGAGGCCACCTGTGGTAAATTCAGTTGATTGGACATGATTTGGAAAGGCACACACCTGTCTAATATTAGGTCCCGCAGTTGACAGTGCATGTCGGCGCAAAAACCAAGCCATGAAGTCGAAGGAATTGTCCTTAGCACTCCGAGACAGGATTGGGTTGAGGCACAGATGTGGGGGAAGGATACCAAAAAATTACTGCAGCATTGAAGGTCCCCAAGAACACAGTGCCTTCCATCATTCTTAAATGGAAGAAGTTTAGAACCACCAAGACTCTTCCTGGAGCCAGCCGCCCGGGCAAACTGAGCAATCGGGGGGAAGGGCCTTGGTCAGGGACGTGACCAAGAACCCGATGGTCACTGACAGAGCTCCAGAGTACCTCTGTGGAGATGGGAGAACCTTCCAGAAGGACTACCATCTCTGCAGCACTCCACCAATCTGGCCTTTATGGTAGAGTGGTCAGACGGAAGCCACTCCTCAGTAAAAGGCACATGACCGCCCGGTTGGAGTTTGCCAAAAGGCACCTAAAGACTCTCAGACCATGAGAAACAACATTCTCTGGTCTGATGAAGCCAAGATTGAACTCTTTGGCCTCGAATGCCATGCATCACATCTGGAGGAACCCAGGCACCACCCCTACGGTGAAGCATGGTGGTGGCAGTATCATGCTATGGGGATGTTTTTCAGCAGCAGGGACTGGGAGACTAGTCAGGTTCGAGGGAAAGAGGAGTAGAGAGAGATCCTTGATGAAAACCTGCTCCAGAGCGCTTAGGACAACGACCCGAAGCACAGCTAAGACAAAGCAGGAGTGGCTTCGGGACAAGTCTCTGAATGGCCTTGACTGGCCCGAACCCGATCGAACATCTCTGGAGAGACCTGAAAATAGCTGTACAGCGACACACCCCATCCAACCTGACAGAGCTTGAGAGGATCTGCAGAGAAGAATGACAAGCTTGTCGCGTCCTACCCAAGAAGACTCAAGGTTGTAATCGCTGCCAAAGGTGCTTCAACAAAGTACTGAGTAAAGGGTCTGAATACTTATGTAAATGTTATATTTCTGTTTTTTATTACAAAGTAGATACCTCAAATGTTAATTGATTGATAGATTGGTTTAATGTCATTGGTTGATTGTTCCATTCGTTTGTCCATTGATTGATTGACCTGACTGATTTCCCTATCTCCCCCTGCAGGGCTGGATGAACGAGATAGTGAACTATGACCCGGAGACATACCACGCCACTCTGACCCACTCTGTGTATGTGAGACTGGAGGGCTCCATCCTGCGCCTGTCCAAACCCAACCGCAACATCACCCGGCGGGCCACGCATAACGAAACCAAGCCCGACGTCACCTACATCAGCCAGAAGATCTATGACCTCACTGACAGCAAGGTGGGTGCGTTTCCCCTAGGTACAGATTTAGGATCCGCTTCCCCTCCCCAATCCTAACCTTTACCATTAAAGTGGAAAATGCAGATTGACCCAAGATCAGCTATGGGCGGGGTTGTGGGTGCATGTGTCACCATCTGCTATATATTACATATAACATACTTGATGTGTATACTTGGCCCTGGTCTTGGTGTCAGGTTTGGGTTCATTTTCAATTGAAGTTCCCATTATGCCACACACACACCCAACTCAATCAATCCTTCTATTCCCTCTCTAGATCTATCTGGTGCCCCAGAGTCTGGCCAGGAAGCGCGTGTGGAACAAGAAGTACCCTGTCTGCATCGAGCTAGCCAAGCAGGATGACTTCATGTCCAAGGCAGAGGGCGACTGCAGCGAAACCACAGACGAGAAAGCCACAACCACAGGAGAGGCGACCGTGGGGACGGAGGAGGCCAAAAGGTCCAGTGGTCCAGAGCTGACCCTGTACCTGTTTGGTCGAACGGGGAGGGAGAAGGAGGAGTGGCACCGGAGGATCCTGCTGGCCTCCAACCCTCCCAAGACAGGGATGAAGAGAGCCACCAGTCTGCAGGGGAGTAAGACTGGTGAGTGGATGGATCTAGGTGCCAGACATACACACACACACACTCACGGACAAACGCAAACACTTACACACACATTCTTCCAAACTTGTTATTTACAGGAAGTTATCGTCTGGCATGGTTGCACAGATATAGTGTGACAATGTGAAAGTGACTGAGGAAAGTGCAAGACCACATTTGTATTTCATAATGCACATGCAATATATTGATCCTGCTGCATCTTTCTAATATCTTGTTGACCTTTCACCCTCCTGTCAGCCTTGAGCTCCCACAGCCGCAGCAGCAGCCGGAGCAGTCTGGACGAGGTGCTAGCGTCTCAGCCCAGGACCAGGGACTCAACAGCAGGCATAGCAGCCAAGACTAAGTCCCTACTGGACTACAGTGTCTACATGGCCACGCTAGTGCCCCCCGAGACTGGCACTGCCACTACTACTGCCACCCCCATCGCTGCCACTAGTCCCGTAGTCCAGAGTCCACAGAGTAGCCCTGGGTCGGGCAAGAAGGTACACCTTCAACCCCCTCCCTTATTTCTTTATCTCTTTTAGTCTTTTTTTCTTTCTTTTTTTCCTTTACTGTACTATACTCTATTGTTAAATGAATCTATAATTTCTTTACATTCTACATAATTTCTGTAAATAATCTCAATTACAGTACACAGTTGTGCGTAAATTAGTATTTATCTCGCTTCCTTTTTTTCTCCACTTGTGTCCCCGCCTCCCTACCAGTTGCCGAGCAGCAGCAGCATTGGCCCTGTCGTGGTGCAGGGGGAGGAGGAGCCTGTTGCCTGGGTGAACACTGTGATTGGCCGGGTGGCATGGGACTTCCTGAGCGAGCCCTACTGGGCCGATGTGGTCTCCAAGAAGATCCAGATGAAACTCAGCAAGATCCGGGTGGGTGGCCTTCGACCTCTCACCTCTCACATATGACCTTGCTGTGACAAAGGGCTCATGTGTTTAAAAGAGCATTCTTACACTGTTGTAGCTATACTGTATTCAAATCAAATCAAATCAAATGTTATTGGTCACATGCGCCGAATACAACAGGTGCAGACATTACAGTGAAATGCTTACTTACAGCCCTTAACCAACAGTGCATTTATTTTTAACAAAAAAAGTAAAAATAAAACAACAACAAAAAAAGTGTTGAGAAAGAAAAGAGCAGAAGTAAAATAAAGTGACAGTAGGGAGGCTATATATACAGGGGGGTACCGCTGCAGAGTCAATGTGCGGGGGCACCGGCTAGTTGAGGTAGTTGAGGTAATATGTACATGTGGGTAGAGTTAAAGTGACTATGCATAAATAATTAACAGAGTAGCAGCAGCGTAAAAAGGATGGGGTGGGGGGGCAGTGCAAATAGTCCGGGTAGCCATGATTAGCTGTTCAGGAGTCTTATGGCTTGGGGGTAGAAGCTGTTGAGAAGTCTTTTGGACCTAGACTTGGCACTCCGGTACCGCTTGCCGTGCGGTAACAGAGAGAACAGTCTATGACTAGGGTGGCTGGGTATTCTGTTACCACTGAGCTCCAGAGGTTCAACAGAGCAGATCGAAGGACAGAAAATGGAGGGATGAAGAAGATGGAGTGCAAGGTTTATTTGGCTCGGAAGGAGGGAAGAGGGGTAGAAAGAGAGGAGCCATGCATGCCTAATAAAGAAAAAGATACCAGGGGTTTTATGCCTCACAGTTGATCCTTACTACTCTGCAGACACACACACACACACACACTCTAAATGTCAGCCACTGCCGCTGTGCAGCCCCGCCACAGGACTCAGAGACTCCACACTGGGTTCAGAGAGAGAACCTCATCCCTCTCTCTCTCCATCCCTCCGTCCCTGTTTTGATCCTGGTCCTTCGATTATCCCCATTGTGTCATCTTTGGGGTTGTTACTAGTCCCACGATAGCCCTTCGTCTGGTCCTATTCCCAATGTCATGTGGTGATGTTGGCTGTTAGTCTTGTTTTCTCAGCTAGCCGGCGTGGGGGAGTCGATAGGGGCCTTTGTGGCAGATGAGAATGACTGGTAGAATGTGGGAAATGTAGAAGGAGTGAGTGGTCTGTTACCATTATCCTTTAACTTGCACTTACTGTACGTACCCCTGCAGCTGCAGACCTTTTGTATGTGTGTATTTATGCTTGTATAATGAGTGTGTGTGTGTGTGTGTGTGTGTGCTCATAATGTCTGCGTAAAGACATCTACTTGACCGTTTCTTTCTCCTCCAGCTCCCCTACTTCATGAACGAGCTGACCTTGACAGAGCTGGACATGGGTGTGGCCACTCCCAGAATCCTTGGCGCCTCCAAACCCTCAGTGGACCACCAAGGTAAGAACCCTGGGCATGTGCTACTGTACTGTCCATCAACCAAATCCTGACCAGTGAAGAAAACTGCAATGCATTGTGTTTATACACACACTCAAACACACATACTGTGCCACACAAACACACACTGTGCAATGTGCTATTAGCGGGGTTGAATTCAACTTCACACCGCCCCATCGTTGCAATTTATCCCCCTCCGCGGTGACATAGTGCCAGAGGCAGAGGTATCATTTAGAGCCGTGCTGTGCAATCTGTTTATTAGAATCACAATTTCATTCAGGAAGGCCCTTTACGAGAAGGTATATACTGTAGATTCAATCTAGCATGGTTCTCTATAAGCATAAGGGCAGTATTGTGAGCATGGGTGTTTGTATGTCTGTGTCTAATATGTCGACATTGGTTGGAGTCTTCTTATCAGTACAGGAAGTCAAGCTTTCTTATCTGCGGTGTGGGCTGATAGCCATATGATACGAGTTAAAGTGCTACAGGTCCAGGATACACACAGTCTCTCTCTCTCACACACGCACATGCTCGCAGGCGCGACCCACACACACACACGTATGGCGCACTGTTGATTTACATCCTCCGATTATTCGCACACGACACGCTACTGTTTAACACGCGTACATTTTCTCTCTCTTTTCACACACACTCCACACTCAGCTCTGTCCTAGTACGGAAGTGTCCGTGTGTCTTGTGACTACTCCCCACCCCTTCCTTATCCAGCCCCTTTCTCTGACTAATAAGATTGTAATACTAGGGCTCTGTGTTGAGTTCACCGGCTCTGTCATAACCCCTGGACCAGGGGACAACAACACCACTGACAGACACAATGTAATGCTAGCTAACAGCGCTAACAAAAACCAAGACACCACAGTGACAGCAGATATAGCAATGCTAACAATGCTAAGTGCTTACAATAACACCATTGACAGAAACAATGTAATGCTAGCTAACAGCGCTAACAACAACAAGAGACCACAGTGACAGCAGAGATAACAATGCAAACAATAACAACAGTGACAATGGTGATGGCCTCGACGCTAACGACGGCAGCAACAACAACAAAAGATGAGTGTCTTTTACATAGCCACTTAGCCAGTCATGTTAACAACAGCAACGATCACAACAACATGTTTTAGGCTGGTCATTCATTCAGCATTAGAAAAAGCTATGATGGCGAAGGAGGATACACATTTGGAAAGGGTTAAGGCTGCACACACACTCTCACACACACACATAAACCATATGATCGAAAAGTAATGGGAATAGATTATTAATTGAACGAGATGCCAGACGTGTCGATGATGACTTAATGCTTCCATTCTATATTGTAAGACTATCTAAGAATAAGAATTTTAACATTACGTTAATCAACAGAGGGAGCATGTGCAATCCCAGTAGGGGCAATAGCTCAACTCAATATCACAAATTGACAACATTATCAATGAATATATCTAATAAGAAGAATTAGATCATTATGTTCCACAAGAGTCTACCCAATCCTGATAGGCGTTTACTCACTCAATATCACTAATTGACAACATTATCGATGAAGAACATACTATGTTAGTTAAACTCTTGTTTATAATATTATGCTAGTGTGATGGAATGTGGTTTGTGGGCAAATGCCTTGCTAAGTGCAATGTAATCAAGTCCTGAGCAGTTGAGTGGGTCCCATGGTTATCTGTTAGACTGAGTAAATAATGGTTGAGGTACATAGGGGCCATAGTCTTGGCTGTTAGTTGCACAACCAGCTTCTCAGTACAAACACACTGCAGTTTGTATAGTACAGTTGAGCATAGGTTTGGACAATACATAATATTAATATTACTAGTAATAAATGCCTCAACTTTGGTAGAGTGACTGTCTGTTGGTTGCTTCCTAGCCGAAGCAGAGTATCTCTCGTAACATCTAACCATCCAGCACCTTACCTTCCGTATTTGCACAGTAGGTAATCATTATTGGGTGCATACATTTACATTTACATTTTAGTCATTTAGCAGACGCTCTTATCCAGAGCGACTTACAGTTAGTGAATACATATTTTTTTATACTGGCCCCCCGTGGGAATCGAACCCACAACCCTGGCGTTGCAAACGCCATGCTCAATCAACTGAGCTACATCCCTGCCGGCCATTCCCTCCCCTACCCTGGACGACGCTGGGCCAATTGTGCGCCGCCCATGAGTCTACACATCACATGTCATTTCTGGGTACATACACCCTTAAGGAAGTTATGCCCCACAGTATAGATGTTCTTGCATCTTATTACTGTGTAAATATTAGGAGAGATGGCGTCATATGATATGTAGATTAGATACTTTACATTCTAGTAATGGCCAAAGATGACTGGCCAACTTAATGCCCCACCCCATTGGGGCATGGCCCTCCTATGGCCTCTAATTGGCTAGGGCCCAGCCATGAACCTGCTTCCCCCATGGGCCTGAGTTACAGACAGGAAGAGAGAAACACTAGTGAAAGAATGTGTGTTTCTACATCTGGCATTCGGATCGTCGCTTCTCTCTCTCTCTACCCATCTCTCTCTCCTTCTCTGTCTTTCTACAGTACCCATCTTTCTTTCATTCTACCAGTTTCTCTGTTCCCTCTCTGTTCCTCATGCTATTTCTTCCTGTTTTTGCCAAACACTGTCTGTTTCTTTCTCTCTGTGTCTCCCTGCTGTACCTCAGAGTCACTGCCACCAGTGTTTTGTCATTTTTATCACATCCGCTTAGATGAGACTTAATGAGAAAGGAAATGGATTGCACCACAGGCTAAGAGGGGAACAGATTATGTTGGATCAGAGTTGGAGGAATGCACTTCCACTACACTCAGGAGGACTGGGTTATGTTCATTAGTCACCAAACAGTAAAGCATTGAGTGAAATGGGGAGGGGCTACTTACACTTTTCCAATAAGAATGAACATGACCCAGGCTTCCACAAACACTTTGTTGTTGTTATGGGTTGAAGGAGTAATCAGCGTTCTGGGAAAATACAGTTTTATTGCCTGATGTTATGCAATGTAATGTTTTGCAAGATGTAAGATGTTGTCAATAATATGGTGGTTCGATCCAACTAGGTTACAGAGTCCCACTATCTCGCACCCAAATGTTAGGCAACCCCACTGCAGTCCACCCCCCCCCGAACTGGCAATGTGCAGGTTAACAGACAAATATTTGCTAGAATTCAACAACGTTTGAATCATTTGCATTGGAACAAGAGTATGCAACTATAATGTTTCTAAAGGAAAAGATTCCTCTAGCTTACATTCTAAAGAAACGTGGGTATAATCCAAAAGAGTTAGAGAGGCCCAGTCTGCGGTGTGCAGCCTGCCTGTCCTCCAGGCAGCTCAAGGTCTCTGCCTTCTGCCCTTACTGGAACTGCTGGGCAACCACGATCAATACAAATCACTGGCAGTGGAACAGAGGGTGGACCTAAGGACCAACATCTGTCTGTCTGTGTGCTTGTGTGTCTATGCTTGTGTGTGTGTGCGCATACGTGCACTCGCTTGTATGCTTTTGTGCCAGAGTGTGTACTTTCCTGCGTGCTTTCACGTTCATATCCTTCCTTCCTCCTAGCCTGTATGCATGGGAGTGCTCTGCTCTTCTGACTCCTCACCAGGCCAGCTCACCCCAATTAAGCCGGGGTTGGCCCTTCTATACTGCTCTCGCAGCTAGCGATTTGGGGCTCCTCTCCCCACGCTATCAGACCAACAGCCCTGCCCTCCCTAAACCCCTAACGCTGTCGGACACAGCCTTATTATCACCAGGGCCCTCCAGGTCCAGACAGGGTTAGGCAAGGGCCACAAGTCCCCGGGGGGTGGGTGTGTGCCTCTGGTGTCACAGGGCTGCCTTGTGGTCACTTAGCACAGCTAGCGTTCAGGCTTGGAGAAGACGGTGTTGAGAAAGATGCACAGCTACTCCAACCCTTCTCTCTGGGAGTGTTCACCCCATAGGCGAATGGTGTCACTAGTTGGTTTTCATGCATAGTTCCTAGTCTTTTCAACCTGCTGTGTTTCTGTGAAAGCAACAGGAACAGTGAGGCTACAGGTCATCCCAGCACATTGATGGCTTGCTGGCTTATGGGCTTTCAACTCAAACGTTACTCTGTTTATGATTTTCCTCTCTTAAGCATAAAGTCCTAGGTACATTACCTTGGATGAAAGCCCACTAAAAAACTGGCCTACAATACTAATTTAAATTGAATATAATACTCATTGCTAATAAAATGTTTACCTAATCTTTGTCTGTCTAGCTATTAAGTTTATTCTAACTGTAAGTAGGCCTAACATCTGCCATTTCAAAGCAGTGTAGTGCCATACAGGAGACATACAGCTGTCTTTCTGTACACAGTGTTCTAAGACACGCCATGATAAAGAAGACCTTGTTATATAGAGGATGTATGTTATTCAATTACAGACTCGTACAGAGCTTCACTGTTTGGAGGGGGATAGGAGTCTCTAATTGTCCAGTGTGCGTGTGTGTACTATGTACAGTGCATTCGTAAAGTTTTCAGACCCCTTTACTTTTTCTACATTTTGTTACATTACAGCCTTATTCTAAAATTGATTACATTGTTTTTTTCCCCCCTCATCAATCAACACACAATACCCCATTATGACAAAGCAAAAACAGGTTTTTAGAAATGTATGTATGTATGTGTGTATATATATATATACACACACACACATTACCAGTCAAAAGTTTGGACACCTACTCATTCAAGGGTTTTTCTTTATTTTTACTATTTTCTACATTGTAGAATAATAGTGAAGACCAACACTATGAAATAACACATATGGAATCATGTAGTAACCAAAAAAGGGTTAAACAAATCAAAATATATTTTATATTTGAGATTCTTCAAACAGCCACCCTTTGCCTTGATGACAGCTTTGCACACTCTTGGCATTCTCTCAACCAGCTTCACCTGGAGTGCTTTTCCAACAGTCTTGAAGGAGTTCCCACATATGCTGAGCACTTGTTGGCTGCTTTTCCTTCACTCTGCCATCCGACTCATCCCAAACCATCTCAATTGGGTTGAGGTCGGGGGATTGTGGAGGCCAGATCATCTGATGCAGCACTCCATCACTCTCCTTCTTGGTAAAATAGCCCTTACACAGCCTGGAGGTGTGTTGGGTCATTGTCCTGTTGAAAAACAAAAGATAGTCCCACTAAGCCCATACCAGATGGGATGGCGTATCGCTGCAGAAGGCTGTGGTAGCCATGCTGGTTAAGTGTGCCTTGAATTCTAAATAAACCACAGACAGTGTCACCAGCAAAGCACCCCCACAACATAATACCTCCTCCTCCATGCATTACGGTGGGAACTACACATGCGGAGATCATCCGTTCACCCACACCGCGTCTCACAAAGACACGGCGGTTGAAACCAAAAATCTCCAATTTGGACTCCAGACCAAAGGACACATTTCCACCGGTCTAATGTCCATCGCTCGTGTTTCTTGGCCCAAGCAGGTCTCTTCTTCTTATTGGTGTCCTTTGGTAGTGGTTTCTTTGCAGCAATTTGACCATGAAGGCCTGATTCACACAGTCCCCTCTGAACAGTTGATGTTGAGATGTGTCGGTGACTTGAACTCTGTGATGCATTTATTTGGGCTGCAATTTCTGAGGCTGGTAACTCTATGAACATATCCTCTGCAGCAGAGGTAACTCTGGGTCTTCCATTCCTGTGGCGATACTCATGAGAGCCAGTTTCATCATAGCGCTTGATGGAGTTTGCGACTGCACTTGAAGAAACATTCAGTTCTTGAAATTTCCCGTTTCTCTTTGCTTATTTGAGCTGTTCTTGCCATAATATGGACTTGGTCTTTTACCAAATAGGGCGATCTTCTGTATACCCCCCCTACCTTGTCACAACACAACTGATTGGCTCAAACGCATTAAGAAATTCCACAAATTTACTTTTAACAAGGCACACCTGTTAATTTAAATGCATTCCAGGTGACTACCTCATGGAGGTGGTTGAGAGAATGCCAAGAGTGTGCAAAGCTGTCATCAAGGCAAAGGGTGTCTATTTGAAGAATCTGAAATATAAAATATATTTTGATTTGTGTAAAAAACAAACATGATTCCATATGTATTATTTCATAGTTTTGATGTCTTCATTATTATTCTACAATGTAAAAAAATAGAAAAAACGTTTGACTGGTTGTGTATATAAATGGAAATATTACATTTTACATAAATATTCAGACCCTTTACTCAGTACTTTGTTGACGCACCTTTGGCAGCGATTACAGCCTCAAGTGTTCTTGGGTATTTCTCCCATTCTTCTATGCAGATCCTCTCAAGCTCTGTCAGGTTTGATAGGGAGCGTCGCTGCACAGCTATTTTCAAGTCTCTCCAGAGATGTTAGATCGGGTTCAAGTCCGGGCTCTGGCTGGGCCACTCAAGGACATTCAGAGACTTGTCCTGAAGCTACTCCTGCATTGTCTTGGCTGTGTGCTTAGGGTCGTTGACCTGTTGGAAGTTGAACCTTCGCCCCAGTCTGAGGTCCTGAGCGCTCTGGAGCAGGTTTTCATCAAGGATCTCTCTACTTTGCTCCGTTCATCTTTCCCTCGATCCTGACTAGTCTCCCAGTCCCTACCACTGAAAAACATCCCCACAGCATGATGCTGTCACCACCATGCATCACCGTAGGGATGGTATTGACCAGGTGATGAGCGGTGCCTGGTTTCCTCCAGACTTGAGGCTTGGCATTCAGGCCAAAGAGTTCAATCTTGGTTTCATCAGACCAGAGAATCTTGTTTCTCATGGTCTGAGAGTCCTTTAGGTGCCTTTTGGCAAACTCCAAGCGGGCTGTCATGTGCCTTTTACTAAGGAGTGGCTTCCGTCTGGCCACTCTACCATAAAGGCATGATTGATGGAGTGCTGCAGAGATGGTTGTCCTTCTGGAAGGTTCTCCCATCTCCACAGAAGCACTCTGGAGCTCTGTCAGAGTGACCATCGGGTTCTTGGTCACCTCCCTGACCAAGGCTCTTCTCCCCCGATTGCTCAGTTTGGCCGGGCGGCCAGCTCTAGGAAGGGTCTTGGTGGTTCCAAATCTTCTTCCATTTAAGAATGATTGAGGCCACTGTGTTCTTGGGGACCTTCAATGCTGCTGACATTTTTTGGTACCCTTCCCCCAGATCTGTGCCTCGACACAATCCTGTCTCGGAGCTCTACGGACAATTCCTTCGACCTCATGGCTTGGTTTCTGATCTGACATGCACTGTCAACTGTGGAACCTTATATAGACTGGTGTGTGCCTTTCCAAATCATGTCCAATCAATTGAATTTACCACAGGTGGACTCCAATCAAGTTGTAGAAACATCTCAATGATGATCAATGGAAAGAGGATGCACCTGAGCTCAATTTCGAGTCTCATAGCAAAGGGTCTGAATTCTTATGTAAATAAGGTATTTCTGTTTTCAATTTATCTTTATGGGTTATTGAGTGTAGATTGATGAGGAACTAAATTAATTTAATCAATTTTAGAGTAAGGCTGTAATAATAAAATGTGGAAAAAGTGAACAGGTCTGAATAATTTCCGAATGCACTGTATGTGTCTGTGTGTCGTCTATTGATTGACTGTCTAATCAAGCCGGCTAGAATTCCCATCATTCCTGCTGTGGGAGGTGTACAAGTGGTTTGTTAGTGGGAAGTCTTACTGTGTTGCTCAGAGAAAGTGTATGTTCTCTCGCTCTGGCTTTCTCTCGCTCTCTGTCTCACTCTCGCTCTATCTCGCTCTCACACACCCCTGCATCATCTATCAACCCAGGAGTGCCCCCTAGTGGTGTAAAGTAGCACTCTCCCAAAGTACAGTTCCATGATGTGTGTGTGTGTGTGTGTTACCCTGTACGTGCTAGTGTGTATTCACGTACTGTGCTGCTGTGTAATGGGCCCCCTGTCGGAGAACACAGGCCTGCCCCATGCGAGGGGGGCTTTGGGCCGGGGCCTTGATAGGGGATTTCTCTAACCCAGATTAGCAGGGCTGGGGCTTTCGGGAAGAGAACCATGTTTATGCAGCGAGCAGCGTCCCCGCTGACATCAAACGAGCGCTATGAGGGGTATCGCACGGTGTCCAACTGTTTCCCCTCTGTTCAAAGGGTCCTGTGATCTCTCCCTCTTTCTCTCTTTTTGTATCCCTCACTTCGGTTCTCTTCAACTGTCAGGCAATGAGAGAAAGATGGAGGGAAAGAGAGGGAGGGAGATTTGAGAGGGGGATGAACATGGGGGTCCGAGATGCTAGGGGGAGGGGAAGCGGCAGGGGAGCGAGGAAGAATGGGCGAGGGAGGGAAGGGGAAGTGAATGGCAGACTGAAGGCTAGTGACCTGGAGCATTCGCCACAGACTGAGAACCTTTAGCCAGATCCACTCAACTTTTAGGCTCTGCAGATCTGGAAAGTGAATCACTTACTGTAGTTTCCAATTACTTTACTTTACCTGAAGCGCTGCTATTCAGCACTGATATTTGTCTTCATGCTACAGTCAATGGTGGTAGGTTACTGTTCAAAGCTGGGTCAAGTAGTTTGGTTTGTCAAAATGATCATCTGATGTGTGTTCCTCCACTCCATTGTGATTCTTCCAAACACACACTGAAATGTGTAATTTCAACTACACACACGGACACGCACCCACACAAACTTGTCGTCCCCTGCCATACACACACACTCACACTAACCTACGTCTGTCTGTCGCTCTCTCTCCCCCAGGTCTGTGGTTTGACTTGGAGATTTCGTACAGCGGCTCCTTCCTGATGACCCTGGAGACCAAGATGAACCTGATCAGACTGGGGAAGGACGGAGACGGGCTGCGCATCAGAGACATCAGCAAGGATGGGTAAGGGGAAGGAACGGTCCTCACTAAACACAACACTGACTGGTGTGTGACCTACTCTGATTGTAAATGTTAATTATAGGGTTACGGTGTAGGGTTAACAGTATTTTAACTTTGAAACATTTAATGAACATAATTGCTCTCAAGGGTTGTTGCACAGGGTGGAGTTTCCCACAGTAAACATTTGTGTAGCCTACTCAGTGTATGGGAAGTATGAGACTTTCTCTTCACTATCCAGTGGGATATTAACCTTATGAAACGCTGCTTTGTTGACAATTTTGCACTGACATTTAGGTTTCCTGAAACAACTGTTAAAGGTTTACGCTGTTACAAAGGTTTACAATGTTTTCCTACTCTGAACACATGATATTGAGAGAATTAGCTTTCCACAGGATCAGGGGTTAGCTACAGTTAGCTTTTAACTCGTCTTCGCTGCACTCTACCTTTTCTCTTTCTTTCCTTCCTTCTGTTCCTGGACGTACCCTTACATGGATATGTTCTTCACCTGGTGAGTGCTGAGTTTCTCTGGGGCATTCTCTCGTTCCCATTTTCATTCCATTTAAATCTGGGGTTTTTGTGGTCATTTCATTACATATAGCTTCCATCCCATCTAACTGACATTGTGAATGGGTTCATTTTGTCAGTGTTCAGATTGTGTGTGTGTTTCTTCATGTGAACTCTTAAACAAAGGGGATCTCAAGAGGATGCATCAATCCATACTCAATCAGTCTTTTCCATTGCGCCTGGCTGATGCTGTCGGCTAATCAGCTGGTTACAGACTCATTTTCAGCTGGCTATATTTTCCACTTCATATTAACAAGGTTACTTTTCATTTAAAAGTTTCAATTCGCTAGTCCGTGGAGCCCTCTCCCGCTAGAATGAATGATATGCATCTTCTAAACATCTATTGATAGGATAGGCGCCTGTCAGTCACAAAGCGAGCGATGACAGGGAAACGCAACAGAGAGGAAGAGGCGAAGCGAGAGGTTTCACTCTCACCAAACTCTTTCCAAAATAGGCCCAATGCGTTTCTATGGGCTTATTTTGGACATAGGCTTGTCGCCTGTCTTCCCTTGTTTGGGACAACGACTCCCATTGTTAGGGCGGAGACTTGAGCATCTCGTCATTATATACAGATCTCTGGTTGCAGTCGAATTTATTTATAAGGAGCAGGTAGAGAGAGTGATGCTCGTGAATTTGCATGTCCTATGTAATGTAAGTGTTAACAATGAGTCGAAATCCACGATTTAGCCTATTTTAATTGCTGACACATTCATGGATTTTATTTTGCGTGTTTCACATAGCCAGCCACGCGGAGTCGTGGCGCATTGTAGGCTATTAACTGTGCATTGATTGATAACTGAACAGCAAGTGTTTACTAGTTTATCAAAGGTGTCGAACTGACTGAATAAAGTCGATCTCTATATCCCTTTGCCATTCTTAAATCATGCAACGTGGTTATACGTCCATAGTATCGCATCGGAACAAGTAAACCAAAGGGTTTCCTTTCCTATGATTTCGGGGCTTGCCAGACAGTGACGCTAAAGTGAGTGACTCTCGTCAGTCAGTGTAGCCTACCGAATGAGTGAGAGAGTCGTTCATTTGGCTCCCTAATTTTCATAGGCTTTTTGGCGCTTACATGCAAAGATGGTGAATTAAAATTGCAGGAACAATGGGTAGTGGAGAACCTCATTCTGGTCCAAATATGATAATTAGGGCCCTCACGAAATGCAGGCATTAAAACGGACTTCAACAATATAAAAAAAAACGAAATGTATTGAAATTGAATTAATTTGGCCAAGTTTATCATAAGACATGACCAGAATGCATCAATGCAACTTTCTGAAGATGCAACGAAAATGCGGGTCTACCACTTTGTGGAAGCCATTAGCGATTATGCTAATGAACAGTCTTCTAGTAGATGGAAAAGCTTTCCCAACAACCTTCTCAGTTAAATGTTAACTATAAAGTACCCTATGCTTACCTGGCAAAATTATATCATTATTTTTATAAATCCAGTGGATATTTGCTTTGCAAAGTCTAGCATCACACGACAAAAACACTGCTAAACCAACAGCCTCTTGTTTGCTGTGCACTTTGAATTAAAAGGTAACTACACCCAAAAATCAAAATTTCTCATGATTTTCTTCCAGACCTCAAGTGGTCTCCTGATGTGGTTTAAGCATTCTTGTGGACTTAGAACATTCACATTTGTTGTTTTTCTATTAAATTGTGAATTTGAAAGTGAAAACCTGAAAAAAATGGGAAGAACAGAAACCTCTAAAAACAAAACATTTAATTAATTTTTCTAGATAATGTGGGCTATTTACTTCATTTTTCTGTTTTAATAAAATACACAATTTGAAGAACAAACATAATTGTGGCAATTGATATCTTGCAGTAAAACTGTAAATAAGACTTTAATCTCAAAGGTTTAATGTTCTCTTACTTAGAAAATCGGGGGGGCCTGCCTGGCAATTTTTTTCTATTTGGCTGACTACTCTATATACTTGTGGAAAACACTGCTCAATCGTGTGGGTGGGTGGGTGCGTGCCTGCCAATGAATTGTGTGGGAACTCGGTGAGACTTCAAAGGGTCTAGATAACACTGAAAAACACTTGTTTCCTCATATGAACAAAGGCATTGTAGTTCTGAGAGTCACCGATCCCTCTGAAAACAATGGGGACGAATCCATACTGAATCGTCTGTGTGTGTGCCAGGTACAGACCACGGACATACTGCCTAGCTGACAGTGATGAGGAGTCATCCAGTGCGGGGTCCTCAGACGAAGAGGATACTTCAGAGGTTACCAATGAAGTCCCTGGAGCAGAGGGGTGAGACTAATTACAGTGTCTATTTACTTTTACCCTGATTATTTACCTTGTTTACCTTTTAAAGTACCTTTCTGTACTACTTTCACGTAATCCAGACTTTAACTTAATGCAGACCTTCACGTAATTCAGACTTTTACGTAAATTAAGGTAGATTTGCGCGACGAAAAGTACTTAGGATTCAACCCCTAAATCTCTCCTCTCCATTAGATACACGGGGGGCCGCCAGCCCAGTAAGATCATGCGCTTCGTGGACAAGATCGCCAAGTCCAAGTACTTCCAGAAGGCCACCGAGACGGAGTTCATCAAGAAGAAGATGGAGGAGGTGTCCAACACGCCCCTGCTGCTCACCGTGGAGGTACAGGAGCTCCGAGGCACGCTGGCCGTCAACATCCCACCCCCACCCACTGACAGGATATGGTATGTTCTAAACAGCTTCATATAGTTATACCTCATAACTCCGCCCACCAACAGGATATGCTACACCCCAACACATTCCTACCATCCCAATACATAAATACACTTTAATATAATATTATAGGGGTGCTGATCAAACACTTGTTGGCATACTGTTGTGCATTAGTTTTTGGTGTTCTGCAATGCACTTGTGCCCTCTGCTTGTGACTGATCACATCCCTGGAAAACGGACATTTTGTGTGCCTTATTATAGAGTAACCTTTACCATTAACTTGCCCACACTGTACAATAACAAATGGCTCAGTGCTGCATGATCTGTTATAGTTTAAATCTACACTCTGGTGTTTCACCTAGTGTGTTTGTTCACTCTGTTTTGAATTGGTGTGCTGCAGGTATGGCTTCAGGAGTCCCACCCCACCTGGAGCTGAAGGCTCGGCCCAAACTGGGAGAGAGAGAGGTCACACTGGCCCACGTCACCGACTGGATCGAGAAGAAACTGGACCAGGAGTTTCAGGTATGTGTGTGTGCATGCCTGTGTGTGCGTAATACCGTACTTTGTCCAAACTGTATGTCAGCATACTACATCCAAATGTAACACCTCTGAATCTCTCCCATCTTCTCTCCGACGTAGAAAATCTTTGTCATGCCAAACATGGACGACCTGTGGCTGACCATCATGCACTCTGCCATGGACCCCCGCTCTTTTGGAACGCCCTCCACCTCCACAGCCGATACAACCCAGAGGGAAACGGAGCCCTCCGAAGCAGAGGGGGGCGCCACTAACGGCATATGAAGGATTGCTTACAGTATTTGCCTGAAATGTGTGAAATTAGAATTGGGAGCCAGGGGGCCTTGTAGTAGTATAAGGCCTATTGGTGTATAAGGACATACAAAAATACTTCTGTTGCCACATTGACATTCCAATAGCTCCATACCCAAGGGTATTTTTTGTCACTGGCAGAACAGGATGACTTCATCAGTCATCAGATGAACTTTGACCTTTAACAAGCTCACTGATGGAATGAGACAGAGGTCAGTCAACCAACCAGAAAGGAGAAACACTAAAAATAAAATCTCTCACTTGCTGCTCTGTTTTGTAATCTGTGTAGGATGAACAGACTTAGAACATTAGATTTTTCTCAGAATGGCACAAATGTAACAGTGATACAACCTTTGACAGGGGCAGGTTAGAGGCTAGTGGTATAAGTGGAGCGGTTATAAGGTTACACAGTGTCCTATGAACACATCATTATATCGCATTCACCGTTCACCTTACGTCCTAGATGGGAAACAACTTTTGTTTGGGGACCCAAATCAAGAGAAGAGATTAAAGTGAAAAGAAATGGTTGAATGAGACACGACACCGCTAGATTATACTTTTGTTATTGTACAGGTGTGTCTGCAAGAGAGTGTGCATGTGTGTGTGAAGCCTGACACTAAAAGCAAGAGTGCATACTTTTGACAATGTCACATGTATTATTTGCCATATCATGAGGCATCAAATGCATCCTATGCTTTGTGCACTAATGCTCACTATCTGTGATCAGGTGAACACTAACAGTATATACACTTGTGCTGTGACCCCCACAGCTCTTACTGCTCGAGGTAGAAGTTCCCCTTTACCACAGGTCTAGAATCAGATTACCCCACCCCAAATCCTAACCATTTTGGGGATGAGAAAATGTCTGACCCTGTATCAGTGGTAATGGGGAAAGTTCTACCTATTCCCCTCTTAACTGTACACAACACCTCTTTATATGCAAAGTATCACTGTCCATATCTATATGGAAGCAGCTATATGAAGCCCCTCCCCTCATCGTTCTCTGGAAAACAATGCGTCATTACGTAGGCAACACGTGTCTTTAATTCACTAATGCCTATGCAAGTTCCTTGCTAACTAAGGACATGGAGGTGAGCAATGAGAAATAATAGTATATGTATAATCTTGTAAAGATATATGATATATAAATGTATGTCTGAAAAGGTGTATATAAGGGGCCTAACTTTTGTTGAATGTATGTATGGCTATATTGACATATTGTTGGACTGTTTTATTGTTTGTTGTATGGAAACTATTCCTAACCAATCACATGGATTATGTTGATTGGGGTATGCCAAGTATTGCACAACTAAAACTGAAGTTTTGATTTATTTTTTCCTTGTAAACACTATTAATGCAATAGTATCTACAGGCATGTATTGCATATTTGCAGTCCTATTGTGTTATGCTCTCTCTAGCATGTACAATACCCATGGCACATGTTGAGACTATTCCTGTGGTACTCTGCACCACACAGGTTTTCATTTATTCTTTCAAATTATGTAGGAAGTGGTATATGTTTTTTTAGTTGTATGTATTTTCAAATGGCCATCAACAGTTGCCAATGCTTGGAAATGAGCCCCCTTGCCAGACGTGCTAAAGGACACTTGATAGAGTTAAACTAAATGATGATATATGTAGTGTGCCCTTTGCCAAAACCATCATTAATACTTGGAAAATAAACTGTTAACTCAAACATAATTGTAGTCTCAAAAATCATCACTTTTTAAGTCTGAATCACCTTCTATACTCTACTGTTATGTTTTCTTAATTTTGCAGTTAAGTTTTAAATGCACAGTATTAGCATTGGATTTATTTACATGAATTCCTATTTGTGTTGCCATTCGTTCCTTTTATTTGTCAGGACACTAAAGCACTATTGTAGAATGTCATTGATGAAGGAATATCTTGTTTTCACTTTCCTACTACTAATTAGTTTAGTTTTAACGATTATTCAGTTGGTAATATTATTATAGGAACCCTTAATAAAGATGAGAAAAAAAGACTAAAATAAAAATATTTTTTTGTTAAATCCTATTATTGTATATTCACACAATTGCTCAGAGAAAGAGATTTTTAGTTTAAAAAGTAATAAAACAATTCTCAAAAAGATGGGTGTCAAAGTTATTGCCACACCTGTTTTCAGTACTCCAGCACCGTACCTTTGTGAGGATAACGACACTGAGCCTTTAAAGAAAAGAAAAGATTGGAGGACACAGTGAGAGGGATCTTGGACCATTCATCCATACAGAATCTTTCCAGATCCTTGTTAAGGTTAAAGGGAGCGTGCTAAGAGTATTGAAAACAGGTGTGCCAATAATTTTGACCCTTATCTTTTTAAAATTACTATTATTTTAAAAATACTTGTTAAACAAAATCTCATTCTCTGAGCAATTGTATTAGTATAAAATAATAGAATTTCCCCATTTTTTTGGAGTATACAATATAGCTCAGTATTGTATTATTTATTTTATACAGTCTTTTTTCTCATTTTTATCAAGGGTGCCAATAATTATGGACCTGAATGTAGGCCTAGTCCCAGGTTGGAATTAGAATGTTTTGTAAAGCTTTGTCTGCTTTTCTGAAGTACAATGTACAATGACAGAATGAGGACATCAATATCACATCAGATTTATATAATAAGAGTTTGATGATTCTGGAAATGGATGGATTGTTTAGATTTTTAAGGCCAAATTTGTTGAGCCTCATCCATGTCAACTGCTTGGCTGGAACATGTCTCTTAGTTGGGAGAGCCAAGGTTTCCCTAAAGGAAGTTCTCTAAAATGTTACATTTTAGTCATTTAGCAGACGCTCTTTTCCAGAGCGACTTACAGTTAGTGCATACATTTTTTTTATTTTTATACTGGCCCCCCGTGGGAAACGAACCCACAACCCTGGCGTTGCAAACGCCATGCTCTTCCAACTGAGCTACACGGGGCCTACAGTTAGTAATGCCTTTTTATTTTTACAAATGTTGATTTAGCAGGCCTTGTTCTTTTATGTTATCGATTTTGTACGACTATGAATTGCAATGGTATTGTGGTACAAATTATTTAAAAAGATCAGCTTGCTTTGTAATTATTCGCTCTTGATTGAAATAAAGATTTTTTTAATGAACCTATTTTTTGTCTTATACTGAAGTTATTTTAACTGCCACACTCACATGCCATGCATCAATATTTAAAATGTTCAAATTCATTCATCTCTGAAAATCCATGTACTGCAAAGCTTGAATAGTCTACATTTCAATAAACATGAATATACATGAGGGGCGGCTCTATCCAATGACTAGGCTCTACCCCCTAATCCTTCACGGAAGTTTATCGTTTCCTAGCAACGCCTGACTGGCTGACAAACGGAGGTGAGTAGCTGTTTTTAGTTTGCAAATTAAATTTCGTACTACTAGCTACAGGATTATTTGATGTTGCTGAAGAGGTGATAAAGCAACCGTAAGGTTTAGTAACTTATGCATTCGAGAACATTTAAAACATTGGTATTTTAAACTGTTAGCTAATTTTACATTTGACAGCTAACTTTTCTAGCTAGCGATAATAGCATATTAACGAATAAGCACGCTAATTTCAAGACAAGTGGATAGCAGCATGCCATCATAGGTACCTATCTTATTTCCTTTTGAAGCAAATGTATGAGGGCCTACTGAATGATTATGTCTTCAACTTCATAACGTTAGTGAACATTGAAATATTTGTGTCTACTCTGCCATGTCTTCCCAGGTGATGACAGAAGGCTTTCTCAGCCAACTTTTACATTTGCAATATTGCTTCAATACAATATTTTCATTCTCTGACCTTTCTTTCAGTTCTGAAGAGACAACTCCTTAATAACTCAAGAAGCAGGTAAGGAAAAGAGCAGGTGACATTGACGTCATTTAGCAGACACTCTTATCCAGAGCAAATAGGGTTAAGTGCCTTGCTCAAGGGCACATCAACTGATTTTTCACCTAGTCAGCTGGGGGATTCAAACAAGCAACCTTTCAGTTACTGGCACCAAAGTGCTTAACCACTAGGCTACCTGTCTACATGACTGCAATGCAATCCAATGTTGTTGTGACTTGGGTGTCACAAAGGCAACCTTCTTTTAGTGCTGACAGAGTCAACCATCTTGGTCCCCACCGCGTCCAATGGAGGGTGGAGAAAGTGAGGGAGGAGGGGAAGAGGAGAGGAGGGGAACCCCGCCACAGGAGGAGGAGAAGGACGATGAACAGCCAGGTGATGCTGACGAGGCAGCAGAGGACTCTGGGGTTACTGCGCTACCTGTGCAAGAGGTTTGTGAAAGACACTACTCTACAGTACAGGATACGTCTTTTCACACGTTTCTCAAGTTAGGATTTGCGAGTCTCATGATATTGTATCATCGGCATTTTATTTTTAGACATAGAAAATCATGACATTATTTCCAAAATACGATTTAGACATGATTTAGGCAATGGTCAATGCACTGAATTAAATATAACACTTTATTATAAGTATTATATTATATATCTCTAAGGATCAATAAGTGACTTCCTGAGTGTCCTCCTGTCTATCCTCCATGCAGGGTGGATCAGCAGAGCAGTCAGACAGAGAGCAGGCTGAGGCGGGGGCTGATGACCCAGTGTCCCAGTCAGGAGACAATGGTACAGGCGCAGCCAGCAACTCCGGTCAGCAGGGTTTCAATAAGAGGGAGGGGTAGAACAATGGTGGGAAAATGTAACTGATTTCTATCACCTTTGAAATTGAGTTGAGCGCTGTGACTTGTCAAGCACGGTATCTGTTGAGGATTGATCATGAAACATTGTTTTTTGGGTTCCAGATAACGGAACGATGCCCTTGCCTCCTCACCCCTCATTGCACCTCTCAGTCCCCCTCTCTGACAGCGATGGGGACGAGTTACGCAGGGCGGAGGAAGACGACGATGGAGATGAGCTAATTGTACTGGACCCTGAACACGTAAGCAGTTTTCCTGCTTAACATCACTGCTAACATTGTTTTAAATACCTTAAGGTTTAAACCCTGTTATGCCTATCAGATGAACGCCTTAGTATGGTTTTTCCAATCTGCCTGTAGCCACTGATGAAAAGGTTCCAGACTGCACTGAAGAGCCACCTCCATAAGCAACTGGAGAGACTCAACTTGGAGCTGAGAGAGAAGGTGCAGTAGGTCTCTTCTGAAGCAAAGACTCTTCATTCTTTACAATGGTTTACAATCAAATCAACATGGACATCCACGTTACAGTATACATGCAGGATGACTCATACCTTTTATGGGTCCCCTTTTTGAAGGCACTCTTTTCCCAGGAGAGGGCGCCATTGACTTGTTTTGGCTCAATCTCGAAACATTCATTTCAAAACACACAATAAGATAATCTGCAACTAGAAATTATCTATAAGCAACAACAATTGATTTACAAGGATTAATCACTATTGTTATAACATAAAAAAAAAACATCCACAGGCCTTGCAGTGCATTTCTAAGGCATTTGTCCTATGCAATTCTGACCCCAACCTATGCTTTCTTTCCCTCCACTCCTCCACCCATCTCCCTAGATGGCTATAGAGAGGTCTGAGAGCGACCACCGAGAGGAGCTGGGCGTGGAGCTGTACGGCATACAGCAGGAGCTGGCCAGACTCCAGGCCTGTCTGGAGGACCGTCACGAGACCAACACACAGGCGGCCGCCCAGCGCAGACAGGCCCAGGATCAGCTGGAGGGGGTCCGAAGCCAGTACCGCACCACAGCCAGCCAGGCCAGCAAGCAGAGGTCACATGGTGAGACCCATAGAGATATACAGTTAGTCTGCCTTCTTTTAAATTCTGTGGTGATAGCACTCACTGACTTGATAGGGACAGATATACTAGGATTTTATAGATACTATCCAACTGTTCAAGAAACATAGACACATTGAATCATCAACAGTCATAAGCACAAGTTTCTGTGAATATAGGCTGTTGTCCCTGTGTTACAGATGTAGGATCTTAATTTGATCACTCTTTTGTTGCTGAGAATTTTTGTGCACCACAGGAAATGCAGATGAGCTTTGTGATTTACATAAATTCACTGAAAACCTACACTAACACCAACAGTATTGCACTTTTCAAGTAGCCTACTTTTGGCCAGCTAATAGCTTAACCACCGATCAAGCAACGTTATGGACTAAACGTTAAAATCCTGTTGCTGCAGGATTATTTTGCTGTGACAATATAGGTCAAATTAAGATCCTATATCTGTACTATGGCTTGGGCCAGGAGTTTTTCTTAACCTAATCAAGGAAAAAATCAGGACCCTAGCCTAGTTATAATAGCCCATAACTATCACCTAAAGGTTTTCCTGGTCAGGTGACATAGTCAGGAAAAACTCCTGTCCCTAACTACTTCTATCACCTTCTCCCTCAGTGTCCCAGCTGCAGAGTGAGGTAGAGAACCTGGCACTGCGTCTGTTCTACATCCAGGAGGTTAACGCCGACCTGCGCTCTGACATCACAGCCATGAAAAACGCCTCGCGCAAGGCCCACTCCGAGAAGACCCAGGCAGAGGAGCAGAAACAAAAACAGGTCAGGACACACGCCTTCCTTCTTTTACAACTGATTCAAAATCAGCCGAATGGCATGTTATATCTAATGTTAACCGTTCTGAGCCAAATCGCAAAACTGGACCTGGACCAGTTGCTAAGGGTCTAGAAATAGAATTTCGAATTATTCTTATTTCTTTGGCTGTGTCTTCTCAGGCAGTGTATTACAGGTGATTGCTAATATGACCCTCTCTCTCTTTCTAACCCCCTCTCTCTCTTTCTCTCTACCATCCCTCTCGCTCTCCCCCCCCCCTACCCCTCTCTCTCTCTCTCTCTCTCTCTCTCTAACCCCCTCTCTCTCTCTCTCTCTTCCACCCCTCTCTCTCTCTACCCCTCCTACCCCCCTCTCTCTCTCTCCCTACCTCCCTCTCTCTCTTTCTCTCTACCACCCCTATCTCTCTCTACCTCCCCCCCTCTATCTCAGGACTTGTATGTGGAGCGGTTGACCAAACACATGGAACGGCTGACGGAGCAGATAGCTCTGTATGAAGTCCAGACCATCGCCCAGTCTGAGGAGACCCAGGCAGCCAAGGAGGCCCTCTCTGAGGTACACTACTGTCCACTCCAGGGTGGGTGTAGGCTTTTGCTCCAGCCAAGCAGTAGCACACCTGATTCAACTAATGTTTTAATCCTAAATGTGTTACTGCTTAGGCTGAGTCAAAAGCTGTACACACAGAAGGAATGGGGAATGGTGGTGAATGGTGTGAATTTTGCCTGTGTGTCTCTCGATGCAGGCCCAGATGGAGATGGACTCTTTGGTGATGGAGAGGAAGCAACTGCTGCAGCAGTGGAACAGCAGCCTGGTGGGCATGAGGAGACGAGATGACGCCTACACCGCCATGCTGGAGGCTCTACGGTGAGGACACTTAAACTCCTAGCACTGTGTAGAGTCGACACACCACAGGAGGCTGCTGAGGGGAGGACGGCTCATATTAATGGCTGGAATGGAGTGAATGGAATGGTATCAAACACATGGGAACCATGTGTTTGATGTGTTGGTTACCATTCCATTTATACCGTTCCAGCCATTACTATGAGCCCGTCCTCCCCAATTAAGATGCCACCAGCCGCCTGTGACACACACACACCTCACCACACAGTGTAGAACAGCAGCCTGGTGGGCATGACGAGACGAGGCCTACACTGCCATGCTAGACGCTCTACGGTGGCAGAGAATACACACTGGATAGACTTGAAATGGCAACCATATTCCATCTATAATGCACTACTTTTGGCTAGATGTCCATTGGCCAGTGTCCAATGTCTATTTACAATACAATTTGTATTTGCTGTGCATCAGTGCTGCTGGTCTGCTCTGGTCAAACTTTCTCCTTGAGACTTGACATGCTGTACACCTGTGGGATGCCACCATGTACACGTCTATCAATCTCCCCCTCCCTCCCTCCCTCCCTCCCTCCCTCCCTCCCTCCCTCCCTCCCTCCGTCCAGCACGGCCACCCACCAGGTCCGCTCTTTAGACACCGAAATCGAGGGCTTCAAGAAGTCCATCACGCGGGAGGAGGAGCGTAATGAGCTGCTGACAGTACTACTGAACAGGACCCAGCTGGACAGCGCCACCTCCAAGAAGCTGATCTCCCAGAGCCACAGCCAGCAGGAGGCGCTGAAGGCCCAGTACAGCATCTACATGAGGATACTGCAGGAGACCGAGCAGACACTGCAACGCGTCAACACAGTGAGTTAATTAATGAATTGGTTTTATTTTACACATTTGAATAGGTTGCTTTAGCCAAGTGGAATCAACAATACCCACATTGAAATGAATCATTGAGGATTAAAACAATGAAGTCAAAAGACTTGCTTCCATTGTGGTTTTTCTTGGTGTATCTTCTGTTCTTTCCCTATGCAGGCTCCTCTGAATGCATTATCCGCTCAATATGAAGTGACTGGAATGTTGTATTGTTGTTGTCATGACTCATATACGTGGATGATAGTACGATGAAACACTTCTAATCCCTGTCCTGTCCCGCTCCCTCCCATCTCCCCCCTCCCCTCTCTCCTCCCTCTCTCCAGGAGTGTGGGGTGCGCCAGATGGAGGTGTCCTCCCTGAGGAAGCAGATGGAGAAGGAGTGGGTGCGGCGCATCGAGCTGGAGGACCGCATCATGTCCAAGATGCAGGAGCATCTCACCCACGACAAGGCCACCAAGTACTCCCGACGCCTCACCGACAAGATGGCCGCCCACAAGAGGGAGAAGGTGAGCGTTGATCGGCGTACTTTTTTTCCATCAAGTTTATTTCGGGAGTTTTCAAGTAATTCATACCATTACAAAAACAATTTTATTGTGGAGATGTGTTAGGAATGGGAGACTTTGTAGAATTACAGCACAGAAGGAGTTTAATCTGGTTGTTATTTAAGATGAACATTGGTATAGCTAGTTTTTCAATAACCTGTGTAGACAAAAAAAATGAAAGGGTAAATTGATAACCACACCAACCACAATGCTACATATGAAACTTTGTTAGTGCAATGTATCTCCTCTGTGTGTGAGTGTCCCTCCCTCTCTCTTCACCATACCAGGAGGCCCAGCTGTCCTGCCTAGAGAACGAAATGGCAGCGGTGACGCTGGAGAGAAGTAACGTCACCCTGCGTCTGGAGGGTCTGGCTCGCACCCTCGCCTCGCTGGAGACGGAGATGAGCCGCCGCAACCAACTGCTCAGCGCCAGCGAGGCCAGGATCACCAAGCATGTCACCGTCATCGAGCGCAAGCAGGCCACCATCAACGTTTACAACAAGAAGATCGAGCAGCTCATCGCCAGCACTGGGGTGAGAGTTAACTTACAACCGAGCACTGACCAGTGTAAGTTCTGTCTAAGAATAAAGGACTGAAGGTACTGAATCTAAAATAGATACCACCTACAGAACTAGAATGATATTCTATGTCTATGAGAGCACCATCCTCTACAATAAGACTGGAGCTAGTATCGATTTGAAACGTTTCAAAAGGTTCCTGATTTTCTATGTTGTCTTGATCACATCCCTACTTACGTCAACAGCACGAGGACCTGGGCCCGTTGGAGATCCGGGCCAGTACTCTGACCAAACAGCTGGAGGGGGTGGGAGGAGAGATCAAGGAGGAGCAGCAGCTCTGGCTGCGGCAGCAGGGGGAACTAGTGAGACTGACACAAGAGAAACAGGCCCGGAGCGCCGCCCTGCTCACACTGCAGACCCAATGCACCATCCTACAGCAGAGGAAAGTCCGCACCGAGAGTATGTAAACACACACTGACCCAGGAGAAACGGCCCAGAGCACCGCGCTGCTCACACTACAGACACAACTCTCCATCCGCACCATGACTACAACACACACTCAGTGGATATAGAGATAGATATGATTTATTTAAGTGTCATACACTTACCGGTGCCCAGCCCACATGGGCTTACAAGACACTACAGAATAAAATAACATTTTACAAATTATGCGCATAAAATAATCATGGCAAGGACAGCTACCATCTAGTACATTTCTCCTTCTCGTCCAGGCATTGTGAACGAACTGAGCAATCTCAAACACACCCTGTCTGAAACAGAAATGCAAGCCTCTGCTCGTCCTGTAACCAGAATACTTTCTAAGTCATTTAAAAAATAAAAATAAATGTCTCAGATCGTCATACAGAGCACAATAAAACACAAAATGGATTTCGTTTGCGATTTCCCCAAGATCACACAGAAGGCAAATTCTCTCCTCTTCAGGCACTCTGTTAAATCTACTAGTGTCTAGAGGGAGGGTGCCGGATCTGAGTTGTGCATAAAGTGACCTTTGGATTTTTGTTAGGTTCAGGCAGACATATGGTTCAGGGTTGGAAGATGTGCAGTCTTGGTCACAGAGACTAAATCTATAGTGGGTCTTTGTGACCCTACCCTAACACAGACACTCCCGTCCCCAACACACACACCCTAACCCTTGGTCTCCCCACCTCTCCGCTGCCTCCCGTCCAGCTGAGATACAACAGGAGCAGCGTGAGCAGGCCGAGCTGGAGAGACACATGAAGGAGCTGATGGCGGACATGTTGAAGCTCAACTCCCTGCTGAGTGAGAACAGGCATCTCCGCCAGGCCCTGGAGCAGGGCAACGTCCTCATGGAGACTGACTTCCTGCACAGACTCAAGGTGAGACTGGGGAGGGGGGTGTTCATGGTAGAGGGTGTTCATGGTGGGGGGTGTTTCCGGTGTTAATCAGTCCCTCAGTCAAATACGTACACATACAAATACTAATATGTCTGTTTCAGTCCTAAACCACTGCCTAGTATACTAACTAAGTAATTATTTAAACTACAAAATTATTTTTCTGTCTAGACAGACAGTAATTTCTGATACTCCATAATATATTCTGATCAACAGGCTTGTTCTTGTTCAAAGACTTTTGACCAAATTGAAGGGCAGTATGCTAGACATACTGTATATAGACTTAAATATGATATAGATATAGAAATGCCTCCACACCATTGTACTTCATGTATAACAGTGTATTTCTGTAATGTTGTGTGTGTAGGAGGCAGAGAGAGACTCCATTGAGATGCAGATGAAGCTAGAGAGGATCCAGGAGGAGAAGGACAGGCTGTTCAACAGTCTGGTGGAGTCAGAGTGAGTCAAACAGTAGCAAGTAGTCGGTTTAGAAACATGAGCCTCTGTCTATCTGTCTGTCTGTGTCTTGTACCTCATTCGAGTGTACGTTTGTGTGTGCCTCACATGTTTGTGTTATGTGTGTGTGTGTGTTTGTTTATTTCACCCATGTTTATTTGTGTGTGTGTGGGTTTCAGGCGTCAGATCATGCTGTGGGAGAAGAAGAGCCAGCTAGTGAGAGAGACCAGGTCGGCTGTGGACTCTGAGGTGGGCCAGGGAGACATCCGCACCATGAGGGCTGAGATCCACCGCATGGAGGTAACATCTCACACACTGGAGAAACCAAGAGCAAATCTCACATCACACCATTTTTCACATAGTGCACTACTTAGTCCCTCCTACTGCAGACTGATACACTATGTCCCCATATAGCACACTACAACATTGTGTTGCTGCCTATACAAATAAAGTTTGATTCGATTCCTTCGCGCACTAAATGTGGAATAGATGGAATAGGCAGGACACCTCACACACTCATACACCTGTTTCACCCCCTCCAATGCTTTTACTGGGTAATGAATCAATGCCCTGTACTGGAGGCAAGAATCAAGTATCCATGTGAGTGTGTCCCTACAGGTGCGCTACAGTCAGCTGATGAAGCAGCAGGAGCGCCTACTGAGGGAGATGGAGGGAGTGGTGGCTCGTAGGGAGACTATCGTGATGCGCAGTGAGGCTCAGGCACGCACCAACCGCAAGCAGCCCACACACACCGACTTCCACGGCATCCTGCAGGGCCTGCGCCGGAACATACTGGACACACAGAAGGTGGGGGGTGTGGGTGTATGGAAGTGGGTGGGTCGGTGGGTGGGTGAGTCGGTGAGAAGTGGGTGGGTCGGTTGGTGTGTTGGTGGGTGTGCGTATGTACAGTACGTATATGCTTAATATGTGTGTCTATGTTGTGTGTGTCTCCCCACCCTAACAGCAAGCGGAGGAGTGTGATGGGGTACTCAGGGAGCTGCAGCAGGGCCAGGCCTGTCTGAGCAGCAGTCTGAGGGACAAACAGCTGCAGCTGGGAGAGCTCCACAGCGCCAGAACTGTCCTCACCTCAGACTTCCACTGTCTGCAGGACACCAAGGAGAGGGTATGTGATGTTGAACATTCACCCATTCACTCAACATTATTCCTGCCCAATTTATTGGTATCCATAGTTGAGAGGTGGTTTTCACTGTGCATAGCTATTTGAATATCTCTTTTCATCTCATGTCTTGTCTTTTTAAATCCCTTATCCATCCTTCTTTTCCTTCCTCGGTCTGGTTCTTTCTCTCTCTCTATCCTCCCTTTCTCTCTCTCTTCCCTTTCTCTCTCTCTCTCTCTCCTCCCTCCCCCGCTCTCCCGTCTCCTTCATCTCTCCTCTCTCTCCCTCCCTCTAGAACCTGGCCCGTCTGGTCTCCCTCCAGGGCCGGGCCAAGCAGCTCCAAGCGGTGCGTGAGGGGCGCTACAGCGCCCTGTCCACCGGCGAAGCCTTGGAGCCTGCGTTGCGGCGTCAGGAGGAGCGTCTGCACACTGTGGCCACCATCCTGCACCGCGTCCAGCAGGAGTTCCCCCAGCACCAGGGGGCGCTACGACGCATCTCCCTAGCCCTGGCCGCGCGCCTGCAGACACCAATTGGTCAGGAGACCCTCTGACTATTACATGACTGAAAACCACCATCGTAGGATTACCCACGGAGTAGATGGGAGATAGAGATCCATCATAGTTGTAGGGTATTACTGCTCGATGGTGTTCTATGTTACTCTGGCTGTTAGGATTAGGGAGCTGGACTTGGGGTGGAAGCTCTCCACCTGGCCATGTTTGGGCAATTTAGGTTTTCAGAATATTTTGTTTCAGTTTATTTTCAGTTGATAAAATGAAGAGTTGATTTAATATATACACAGATACATCCTGCCAGCCTGTGAAAATAATATTGTCCTTGGATAAACTGAAGATACACATCTACACATATATGAACAATAAAAGCAACATTTGCTATTCTTTCTTTAGTTAATATCCACAAACTAGCTAAATCTTAAGTATGGAATCACTAAAGCCAGCCTGTGAATAATCATATGTCATAATAACAAACAGAGAAACAACATCATGCAATGCCCTTAAGCTTCACTTATCATAAATTAAAGGTTCTGTCCATCAAAGTCAAATATCAGATAATAGTCAGTCACAATTGGCTGGTTCCCCCACCCAATAAGCAGTCGCTGACATCATAGTCAGGAAGTGGTCCCAAATGGTCCCCTCTCCAGGGTTTAGGGTTTTCTTTGTGAATCAACACCAAGCCCCTTTGGAGTTGATTCTCTATTCACCTCTGGACATCTAATCCATTTATATAACCAGATTATACACTAATCTCATGCGTTCCTGAAGTGCCTTTTGTCACGGCTTGGGGCTCCAGCAAGGGAAGGGAAGCCCCGAACTGGTCCTAAATCAGATCTGTTTGTGCTGTATAGCCAACTCTTAATGTTGCATGAAAAATGATCTGGAACCAAGCCAGTCACTAATTACATTCCCCCTGACGGATCAAGGAGTAGTTTGTGTACTTACTGTCATAGAAACCTTTGTTATAGGAAGCTTTAGCTTTTGTTTAAAGGCTTGGCCTCGAGCGCTCAGGTAGCTTTGCCAGTGGCTTTGTTTGCCTGTTACATGACCGTTTAGGTGCTATTATAATACACACATTGAATTGAATTGTAAGGTTGAGAAGGCCAGGTTACACATCAGTGAGGCCACAGCCTTTCAGTTGGTACAGATCAAGATCAGCTGGTGGACCACCCACTAACCTGTTATGTTTCCTCCTATGATGCGTCTCAATAGTCTATAAAGGCTTCCTTTCATCGCATCCTCTCGCTCATCTGCTCTGATCTAAGGATACATGATAGGTGAAAGCATATAGTGGATGCCTACTAGGAATTTGCTTTCAAATCACTGAATTACACCTACACAAGCACAGGAAGAGGGCACGACAAAGCCTATTCCCCCTCAGGAGACTGAAAAGATTTGGCATGGGTCCTCAGATCCTCAAAAAATTCTACAGCTGCACCATCGAGAGCATCCTGACTGGTTGCATCACCGCCTGGTATGGCAACTACAGAGGGTAGTGCGTACGGCCCAGTACATCACTGGGGCCAAGCTTCCTGCCATCCAGGACCTCTATACCAGGCGGTGTCAGAGGAAAGCCCTCAAAATTGTCAAAGACTCCAGCCACCCTAGTCATAGACTGTTCTCTCTGCTACCGCACGGCAAGCGGTACCGGAGTGCCAAGTCTAGGTCCAAAAGACTTCTCAACAGCTTCTACCCCCAAGCCATAAGACTAAGATATTTTTTTCCTCTAATTGGTCTGTTGATCAATCCCATCAGATCTTTTCACAACCAATCTTTTTCAGAGCTGATCTGATTGGTCAAAAGACCAATTAGGGGGAAAAAATATCTGAATTTGGCTGCCTGTGTAAAAGCAGCCTTGGTGTCTGTGTTGATGGATGAAGGGACACATACCGAAGTTACAATTTATTTATTTTTAATATGTAGTTGGTATGTTCTGCACTTTTCCACTGTGACACCAAATGACTGTATACCAGTCTAGCCAGTCTCATATATGGGCATCTGTCAGTGTTAATTGAGAAATCAGTCACAGTGGGGTGGATTCATATTGTTTCTCATACCTTAAACTTGAGAAAACTGGTTGTTGTTGATGGTTTCGTTGGTTGTCACAAAAACAACAGCCTAGTTCCATTGGTCATTGGACTACTACACCCATGTATTGCACACACAGTGTCTAGGCTACTTTTCAAAAATACCTTTCATATCACAGGCTATAATTCAAAGCTGCTCCAAGTAAATAGCCTACATAGGCAGTAAGGAAGTAACTCAATGGAATGAATGTGGTTTTGGAGGTGCAACCACCGATGTGTCATCTCAATGATACATTTTCCAGTTAAGTTCTGACACCATTGCAAATGTCATATTTAAATAGCAACCAGGATTCCACATTATTCAAATGTATTTGCCATGTGACATCTCATGAGCTAAACATTGATACACTATATATACAAAAGTATGTAGACACCCCTTCAAATTAGTGGATTTGGCTATTTACGCCACACCCGTTGCTGACAGGTGTATAACATCGAGCACACAGCCATAACATCTCCATAGACAAACATTGGCAGTAGAATGGCCCGTACTGAAGAGCTCAGTGACTTTCAACGTGGCACCGTCATAGGATGCCACCTTTCCAACAAATCAGTTCGTCAAATTTCTGCCCTGCTAGAGCTGCCCTGGTCAACTGTAATTGCTGTAATTGTAAAGTGTGAAGCGGAAGTGGAAACGTCTAGGAGAAACAACGGCTCAGCCGTGAAATGGTAGGCCCCACAAGCTCACAGAAGGGACCGCCGAGTGCTGATGTGCGTAGCACGTAAAAATCTGTCCTCGGTTGCAACACTCACTACCAACTTCCGAACTGCCTCTGGAAGCAACTTCGGCACAATAACTGTTAGTTGGGAGCTTCATGAAATGGGTTTCCATGGCCGAGCAGCCGCACACAAGCCTAAAATCACTGTGCACAATGCCAAGCATCGGCTGGAGTGGTGTAAAGCTTGCCGCCATTGGACTCCAGAGCAGTGGAAACGCGTTCTCTGGAGTGATGAATCCCTCTTTACCATCTGGCAGTCCGAAGGACGAATCTGGGTTTGGCGGATGCCAGGAGAACGCTACCTGCCCAAATGCATAGTGCCAACTGTAAAGTTTGGTGGAGGAAGAATAATGGTCTGGGGCTGTTTTTCATGGTTCGGGCTAGGCCCCTTAGTTCCAGTGAAGGGAAATCTTAACACTACAGCATACAATGACATTCTAGACGATTATGTGCTTCCAACTTTGTGGCAACAGTTTGGGGAAGGCCCTTTCCTGTTCCAGCATGACAATGCCTCCATGCACAAAGCGAGGTCCATACAGAAATGCTTTGTTGAGATCAGTGTGGAAGAACTTGACTGGCCTGCACAGAGCCCTGACCTCAACCCCATTGAACACCTTTGGGATGAATTGGAAAGCCTACCACGAGCCAGGCCTAATCGCCCAACATCAGTGCCTGATCTCACTAATGCTCTTGTGGCTGAATGGAAGCAAGTCCCTGCAGCAATGTTCCAACATCTAGTGGAAAGCCTTCCCAGAAGAGTGGAGGCTGTTATAGCAACAAAGGGGGGACCAAGTCCATATTAATGCCCAGCCTTTTAATATTTAATTTCACAAGGAATAACCCAATTGCCCTAGGAATGTTACCAGGAAATAGCTTAATGTCTTTGTTTGTTCTTTTATTAGGCTATAGTCCATCAGTAATAACCCAGACTATTTCTTTTTTGATTGGTTGATTAGTAACTTTGTACGATTAGTCAGTTTAGTTGTCCTCCTCGCCCATCTGCTGTCATTGGCGGGAAGAGCGCTGCTCGCACGCGTAGGGTCGTTCATGGTGATTAAATATAGGCTACACCTGCGACTCCCAAGAAAAGGTATATGGCACTAATCCATTTTAGTTATGTTTTGTAAATATTATAAGAAGTCATTTTACGCTTTTTTAAGTAGGCCTTTATGTATTTTACTTTAAATAGAAGCGTTTGAATTGTACTCAATTCCTGAAATTCCTCATGGTTATTCAGTAACATCTCTGTGTATTCTTGTTTCTCAGTATTTCCTCCCTGCATTTGCCAGTTTTGTAGCCTACTTGAATAAATGCTATCGTGTACAGACCAAAGGCAAATAAGGTGTGGCCAACCTTTTTGTATCAAAGGTTTTGTTATCATAGCCAAACTTTGGCATAGTATTAGTTTACTAGGCTACACTTGGTAATAAGAGTCGCATATGGTAACAACAAAATATGAAGCATGTATATATATATACAGGTGGTATATTTCCAGCGAATATCCCCTATCTCTTGATCTATTGTTTTTCCCCAAGATGAAATCAAGGAGGGGACTGTGGATCTGTGTCCGTCCGTCCGTCCGTCCGTTTAGTCACACGCGATATCTCAGACCGCACTGAAGAAGATAATATTTGACGAAACTTGGGTGAATTATTCGTCTTGCTATAGAGATCCTTCATTTACGAAATTACAATGATTGGCCTAAGGCTGTAGCTATAGTAATTGGCATGGATGAATGAATGAATGAATGAATGAATGATATAGGTTAATTCTGTATCTTAACGACAGTGGTTGTGAATCACAACCACTGTCGTTAAGATACATAATTATTAATTATTTCGTTAATGTGACGTGGCCCCATTCAACAAACAGTGCAATATGGCTTCAGTAATAAAGAACATGGAGGAAGGCAAGTAGCTTTGTGTTCTAGCTGCGGATATTGAATCAGTGCCATGTAGTGCAAACAAAAGGTACAATAAGCCTAGATCAGTGAAGCACAGGAGGTACGGGACAATATGATGTTTACAACTGTGAAATGTACACATCTTCAGGTTATTGTATGCGTGCATGAGCAGTCCCTCATTGTGTGCGTGGGCACTGATTTAGTGGGGAGTATGTTTCTTGTCTTTCAGGTTTTCCCACACACACACACCCTTGAGTGCATTGACGCCTACACCAACTGGGCGTGGAAAATAAATATATCTCATACAGAGGTGGAGTCCCTGTGTCTCTGAAAGTTTGCTTTTCACCCAGCATCGGACAGCGATCATACTAGGTGTGTGGGATTGAGTGTGTGTGTCTTATCTGTGTCTGCAGGGACTGCATCTGCCTGCGACCTCCATTGACTGTGACACTCACTCGAAGTGTGTCGCCTCACACACGCCCACACTCACCATGGCAGCGGAGTGTGTTCCGGAGGGGTCCGACCTTAAGGAGATGGGTGAGGAGGATGTATGGGAGCTGATCAACGACAACCGTCATCGTATCTCCCTGGGTGTGAAACCATGTATGTTGATCCCCTACCTGCGCCAGGCCAGGGTCCTCACAGAGATGGATGAAGACGAGATCCTCTCCTGCCTCAAGCTCACCAACCGCTCCATGAGGACCAGTAAGACATCTATTCTATTCATTTCTATTAGATTCTATTATTTTCTATTGTAGTACTTTAGATTCTATTCTGTTGTATGCTATTTGTATTTTTTCTATTCTATCGTTTTTCTATTCTGTTGTATTCTATTCAAATCAATTTGATTCTATTGGTGTTGATTTTTTCACTTGGTTTTGTGAAAACATTTCTTTAGAGGAGTTAGTAGTAAGCCTTGGGCCAGCCAGAACGGCCCATAGGAGTAGGAGCCTATGTCCTGTTTCGGTAGAGTGAGGCAGCTTGAGTACACCCCCCTGGGCAGGACGCTAGTATGTCACAGGGCCTGACCCCCAATCCATCTCCTTAATGCTGAGTCCCAAGCAGAGAGGCATCAGATCCCATTTTTAGTCTTTGGTATGACTCGACCAGGAACCGACCTTGCAATCTCAGGATGGACACTTTAACCACAAGGCCACTGAGTTGGGAGGAATTTGGATGAGTAAGAGATACTGTAGGATGCCTACCAACTCTGCCCAGCTTTGGTGATTAAATTTAACTTCCTTATGTTATAAAATACATTTGACCAAGACAAATATGATTATTCATGTGCTGAATCATTCAGTGGGGTCTTTCTCTAACATATCAGTAGCATTATTTTAAAAAGTTGGATATCGTAATCTAATACACATCCGTTAATAAGTGCCGAGCTCTGTTGACATAGCGGTGCAGGCTTCTCATAACAACTTTTGAGGATTTTACATTTTGTGGTCGTTGTCTTCAAAGTTGTTTCCGCTGGTGGCAAAAATCAAAATTACCATGACACGAGCTGAATTAAATGTAAAAGGATTTGAAAATGAAAAGGTTGTTCTACGCTCAGTGCTCCGTTAACATTTCACAGAGATACGCTTGTTTTTGTGAGAAATCTTCGAAAAAGGACAGGAATTTCGAATTAATATGAAAAGCGTAAACTCAAATATGAAAATACTGTCATGTCTTAAAATCGATATCCATCTTACCTCTATATGTATGTCCTACGGATTCAAGAAGAAAGGTGACGAGTTCAACGGGAAAGTGGTAGCCAGTAGCCTTTATTCTGGCACAGAATCCAGCCTAGCTGACATGATGCAATTTTCCAGATTTTTGACCACATGGCCTCCATTGATTTAGTCACCCTAACTCTGGCCATCCTACAGGGGAAAAACTCCAAAAAGTTTTAAACGGATTGTGTATGTGTGTCATTCAAAGGGTGAATGGGTAAGACAAAATATTAAAGTACCTTTGAACGGGTATGGTAGTAGGTGCCAGGCGCACTGGTTTGAGTGTGTCAAGAACTGCACCGCTGCTGGGTTTTTCACGCTCAACAGTGTGTATCAAGAATGGTCCACCACCCAAAGGACATCCAGCCAACTTGACACAACTGTGGGAAGCATTGGAGTCAACATGGGGCAGCATCCCTGTGGAACGCTTTTGACACCTTCTAGAGTCCATGCCTCGAGGAATTGAGGCAAAAGGGGGTGCAACTCAATATTAGGAAGGTGTTCCTAATGTTTTGTGTACTTAGTGTATATCTACACTCTTGAGCATGTCTTATAACTGGTGGTGAAAATTAGTTCTGCAATTCATAAATGTTTATAACTCAACATGTCCATATTTTAATAGTGTCTGTCCCTATAAAACTACTAAATTAATGATGAAATACAACAGTACATTTTTATGAATAACAGTCCATAAAACAGTCCATCTATGTGTTTGGTTTACGTTGTGACCAAGGCCTGTGTCCTATTTAACCCTTTGTCTTTTTTAGGTCACATGCTGGACCTGCTGCGTATCCAGGGGAGGGACGGAGCAATGGCCCTGCTGGAGAGCCTGATGATCCACTACCCCACCCTCTACACCCAGGTCACAGGCCGTAAGCCCAGCGCCCAGCCCTCTGGCTTCAGTGGTGAGTAGCACACAACACATGACCTGTTTCCCATGTGGGTCATTTAGGCCCTGTGTTAAGGAGAGGGGCGTGTTACCTTGTTTGAAGGATGATGGCTCTTTTTTTAAGTTGACCTGTCGGCTTGAAAACAGTACAATGTGTTCATTCTATTCATCAGTAAACAGTATTCTAACTATAAATTATTCACATAATCTTTGGAGTAAATCATTTGGTAAAAATATTTGGTGGGAAATTATACATAGTCCAATCAGTAGTCCTGGGTTAGCAGCAGGGTGTAGTGTGTCCATCCTAACCTGATTTCCTCCCAGGCCTGATTAAGTACTCGGACTTGACGGAGTACCTGGTCAGAGCCGTGACAGGGATGCAGAAGGAGCTGCAGGAGGCTCGGCAGGAGGCCAGTCGGCTGGGGATGCGCTGCACCTCCCTGGAGGCGGAGCTAGGTCAGACTCTGGAGCAGGGGGAGGAATCTCGCCGTCTTAAGGCCGACCATGGCCGCATGAGGAAGCAGTTGGCTGCCGCGCACCACGACATCTTGAAGCTGAAGGACGAGAAGTGTGACCTGTATGTGCGGTACACGGCCGCCATCGAGGAGAGGTCGGTCGCCAACATCCACTGTAGCGACCTCAACCTGCAGGTAAGGGTAAAAGGGTTAGCTGTGTGATATTCAGGAGTGGTGATGACTGCACTACATTACATGAAGTGATAAGTTACGGTATTGACAGTGTTGTTACGGTATTGACAGTGTTGTTACGGAGTTGACCAAAAGTATTGTAAAGTGTATTGAACTAATACCAGCATTATTTTGGTGTTGAAACGTGTTAAAGCTGGAATCCTTAATGGTGAAACTGCCACGCCCGTTTGCGATATTACAACAACAAAGAAATTAATGCAAACAACGAACACTGTTTTTTTCCCCTCTGACATCATTGCACACGCGATAGAACAGCAGCATATGTACTGCAAATATATATTTTTTTACAATGCACGACGCTCCCCAGCTCTGTTTCGTCATCAAAACAAAAACAATAACAACAGCCGTGGGGTGGACAGTGGTGCTGTTTCCCCTACTGCGGATTCCATCTTTAAGAGATACATTTCATTTACTGTAAGAAACAACAAGAGACAATAGGAAACATGTTGAAGCAACTGTGGTCAAATACTGCGGTCACAGAATTTGTGACAGTAGTCTTTTCTTTTTCTATGATGGGCAGGTATATCAGCTTCAGTTTGAGCTGCGCAAAGCCCAGACAGAGACGGACTTCGAGAGGCAGCACTCGCTCAAGTGCACCACCCCCAGCAAGACGCAGCAACTGCAGGACGAGATTAGCACTCTGCGCAGGCAGCTACTGGAGGCCGAGAAATTCACCCCAGTGAGTGAGGAGGACACAAGCTCAGACTTCTACAAACAAACTGTAGAATTGCTCAGAGACACACTGTGGTTCTGACTATTGTCTCTTCCTCTTATCTTTCTCTCTGTTTCTCTCACTATCCCTCTATACCCTTTATGTTCTCTCATTTTCTATCCCCCATTCTCTGTATCCCTACACCTCTCTCTCTCTCTCTCTCTCTCTCCTCTCTCTCTCTCTCTCTCTCTCTCTCTCTCTCTCTCTCTCTCTCTCTCTCTCTCTCTCTCTCTCTCTCTCCTCTCCCTCCCTCTCCAGGCGCGTGAGGATATCCTGGCCCAAGACCTGGCTGACGCGAGGGATGGCGGTATAGAGCTTGCTGAGCAGCTCAGGTGCTACAGAGAGGATAATGAGCAGCTGGCCCGCGAGAGGCAGGAGGTGTGTGTGTCTATGAGATTGTGAACAACCCTTTTGAGTTGGCCATTTCATTCAACAGCAAATATCTGCTGAAAGGCAATCTGCTTTGTGTTACACAGTACATTTTAGAGTGGCCGAAGTCTAAATACTGTGTGGGTATGTTTGCTCTTAGATTGTAGAACAGAAGGAGTGTCTGGCGCTGCAGGTTCAGAAGCTGTCTCTGGACTGTGAGATGTACCAGCAGAAGAGTACTGTCATACAGAACCAACTGAGGGAGCTACAGGCAGAGAGAGACCACGTAAGGAGCTATTACCTTATAGCTAATGGCATCATTACTCATCCTGAAATCAATTATTGGAATGCCATACCTGTCTGCCTGCCTGTGTGTCTGACTGCCTACCTGCCTGCCTACCTATCTGTCTGTATATCTGTCTGTCTGCCTTCCTGCCTACCTGCCTGCCTACCTATCTGTCTGTATATCTGTCTGTCTGTCTGCCTTCCTGCCTACCTACCTATCTGTCTGTCTGTCTGCCTACCTACCTGTCTGCCTGTCTGTCTGTCTGCCTGCCTGCCTGTCTGTCTGTCTGTCTGTCTGTCTGTCTGCTTATCTGTCTGTCTGCCTGTCTGCTTATCTACCTACCTACCTACCTGTCTGTCTCTCTCTGCCTGTCTGCCTGCCTATATCCACCTATCTGCATACTGACCTGCTGCATGTATGTCTTTGCTTGTCACTCCACATACACTGAGTGTACAAAACATTAAGGACACCTGCTCTTTCCATGACATAAATTGACCAAGTGAATCCAGGTAACAGCTATAATCCCTTATTGATGTCACTTGTCGCATGCGTATGTGTGCCATTCAGAGGGTGAATGCGCAACTCAATATCAGGAAGATGTCCTTAATGTTTTGTACACTCATTGTATGTATATCTGTCTTATTGCCGCCCTATCTGTCTGTCTGTCCATCCCTCCAGGCGTACCTGTCCAGAGACGAGGCCCAGGCCCAGATAGCCAGGAGCCTGGCTGAGAAGGACATGCTGCGCAGCCAACTGGTGGAGCTCCAGGAGAAGGTCTTCACCCTCAGGGCCTGGGGTGCCTGCCGAGGGGGCCCCGACACACCAGGGGTAACACACACACACTGTATACATATACACACATACACGTTGTACGCACACTCGCACACACACTTGTATGGACGTACATGTGTACATGTCCATACACACATTCACATTGTATACAGATTTACATACAGAGCAGATCCTAAATGAGGTACTTAAGACTAACGTGTGTGTGTCTGTCTGTCTGTCTCCAGGAGAGGAAGTTCAGCTGGGAGAGCCAGGGCTCCAGCAGTGACAGCCTCCCCTCCAGCCCCCGACCTCGTGCCCGCCTCCGCCGCATGCATGCAATATGCCCCGATTCCATGAGTGGATGCAGTATAAAGGTGTGGGTGTGTGTGTGTGCATGCAGGATTTATATCAGTCATGTCAGCTGTTTATAATCTGATTTGTCCTTTAATGATTTACATCATAACTTGACATCTCCTTCCTTCTGGTAATTTGTGTGTGGTGTGGTGTGGTGTGTGTGTGTGCGGGTTGTTGTCTGTGTTGTGGCTGTGTTGTGTTGTGTTGTGTGTGTCTGTGTGTGTCTGTGTGTGTCTGTGTCTGTGTGTAGAGTGGCGATATATGTCCAAGTAGTGTGCGGTCCCAAAATGTGGAGCCTCCATGCCCAGAGTCACTGCGGAGACGAGAAGAGACCCTATGGTACAATCGAGACAGGTAAGGGGGGGGGGACTCCTCATTCAGAACCAGTTGGACATTTTACACAGTAGCACAGTTGGCATGCTTCCTTCTATATTCTGAGTGATGTGATGTCACTATCCAAAGTCTGCTTTTTTAACAGGAAGGCCATGTGTTTACTCTGTGTGTTGCCGGGAAGAGCTTATAATAATATAATAATATGCCATTTAGCAGACGCTTTTATCCAAAGCGACTTACAGTCATGCGTGCATACATTATTATTATTTTTTTGTGTGTATGGGTGGTTCCCGGGGATCGAACCCACTACCTGGCGTTACAAGCGCCGTGCTCTACCAGCTGAGCTACAGAGGACCAAGGCTTTTCCCAGCAGCCCTTCTTTCTGTTCTAGTAACATTAGATAATTCTACAACAGAGCCATTTTATTATTAGAACTGTGTAGAGGTAGATTTGATCCTCCTATAAACTATGTGGCGTCTATATGGCTGAGTCCCAAATGGCACCCTAGTCCCTATATAGTACAGTAGTTTTGACCAGAGCCCTATGGGTCCTGGTCAAAAGTAGTGCACTATATAGGGATTAGGGTGCCATTGGAAACGCACCCTGTCTGGTGATATTTGATCGAGGATTCAGGTGATATTTTTGGAACTAATTATAGGTTGTTTTCACAGATGAACGGCTGCCCATGTTCATGTTTGTTGTCGTAGTTTTGTGTTTACAGTGAAGACAAAAGTCAGTCTAGGTGCCATGGGAGCAACTCTGGATTTCTGCAGTCCAACTCACCCAACCAGTTTATCAGCCGCAGCATACATGATACATAGAGAGAGGGAATGAGAGGTTAGAGAGAGAGAGAGAGTGAGAGCAAAAATAAGGAGGAAAGAAGAAGACATTTTGTAAACAAGTGTTATTCCGTCTTCTTGTCCCTAGCTCGGAGACGGCTGAATGTGACTCCTTACTGGACAATGACTTTGTGTTCATCCCCAGTGGTACGTAACTGAATGAACTCCCACCTTTAACAACCTCTCACCTTACTGGGAATCACCAGCTTACAGTAAATTCCTGGTTGTATGTGTGTGCGTGCATGCGTGTGTACTTACAAGTGTGTTTGTGTGTGCACTTGCGTGCTCGCATACATGGATATAAGTGTGTGCTTACGTGTTTATCTTTGTGGGGAAACACCCAGATGAGACTTCCTGAAAACAAATGGAAATGTTTTGGTTGGCCATTTAGAGATGATTGAAATGAAATTTGGATCCTGGCCTGGTAGGCTAGGTAACACATTAACTGTGGCGCTTTCTGTCTGTGGACACATTCTTGAACAGTCTCTCTTTTTTGTTTTATTCGATTTACAGAAAATGAGGTTGAGCAATCTGTTATGTCACCCATGCCTTCCTGCCAAGGCAACAACAGTGATGGGTGAGGAACGTCAATTTACCTTGATGTACTGAAATCTATGGGATGTGCACACATTCACTACCTTGAATTGCAAGTATAAGTACAGAGGAACAAAGCCATTTAGCCTGCATATTGCAAGGAGAGGGTATTATGATGACAACACATGAAAATGATTTACTCCTATAAGGCGCCATTACCAAACTCAAAGTACCTTACATACATCGTATGCATTTAACAATAATCTTGGTTAATCCGAAACTAAAATCACGTGCAATTTGGTCAGATGCTCGATTGTTTACGAACTTTCCGTAGTCATCTAACAATGAAATACTCTCATCTCCTCTCTATCTCAACCCCAGCCTCTCCAGGGCATCAGCCCCTCCGTTCCTGCTGCGCTCCCGGCCCCGGGCCATGCGCATCACGGGCCGAGTCCTGACCATCTCCTTCCAGGGGGAGGCGCTGCTGAGCCAGCTGCAGGTGGTGGGGGGTAACAAGACAGGCGTGTTCATCCACCAGGTCACTGAGGGCTCCGCCGCCAACAACGTGGGCATCAGTTCGGGGGCACAAATATTGGAGGTGTGTGTGTGTGTGTGTGTGTGTGCGTCTGTGTCCCAGTCTCCTATCCAGCAGCACCTGACAGATCGATTCATGGCAGCCATTTTGTGTCATAACTCCCCCAGCCCCTCTTCCTCACAGTTTCTGTGAAGGCACTATAATTCCAATGGGTGTTTGTGCTACTGGGTTCCAGGTGAAGTATGAGCAGGCTCAGCAGGCTCTAAGGATGGTTCTGGAGGACTCCACCCTGGAGGAAGCCATGTGGGCTCTGGGGCAGGTCCGAGGCTTCTGCCACCTCTCCCTGAGGCCCAATCAAGATGGTGAGACCCTGGCCCTGTTAAAATATATGAATATGTCATCATTATGTTCAAATACAGTCTGGTTAAAATACTTTATACGTCATCACATTCAAATACCCTGCCCAGTGCAAATACTTGTAAAATGCATCCTTTCTTTCTCCCTTGCTTGACATTATCCTTCTGATGTGACACAATTGTAAAAGCAAGGATGTTAAAGCAAAATGTTAACGTGACTTTGATGGAGTGTGTCAAATCGCTCGGATCGGCACTAGAAAGATACAAATATGTGTTCTTAGCTGATTAGCGCTCTGTGGATTTCGTCACAAAAACAAGTGCAGGAGTTCCTCATACTCATGATTAGGTTGAAGATCAATGATTATCTGTCATGTTTTATAGGTATTTAGGATGACTGTTTGTTTTGAGGTAACATAGCAACATAGGGGTGAAAAAACAGAGTGACATACTGGGGACACTTAAACCCAAAAACAACTTCAAAGTGGTCCATTTCAGCACCTGGCTAATTTCAGAACAACAAAAAAGAGTGTTCTCTTTTTTCTCCACTGGTTCTCAACTGGAAAGCTATTGGCATGCTACAATAGCATTGCATAAGTACCAATCTCTGTGTAATGTGTATCACTAAGAATTAACACAAAGTATGCTTCCACTTGACATTTCATAAATATGCTATTTTAATGTTTCTGTATTCATATTGGTGGTTGTGATATATATAACACTTGTACTAGTGGCCGGACCCAGATGAGTGGCGACAGTGGTCTAAGAACTGAATCGCAGTGCTAGCGTGCCACTAGAGATCCTGGTTCGTATCCAGGCTCTGTCGTAGCCGGCCGTGACGGGAGACCCATGGGGCGGCGCGCCTATGCCCAGCGTTCGTCCAGGGTAGGGGAGGGGAATGGCCGGCAGGGGATGTAGCTCAGTTGGTAGAGCATGGCATTTGAAGCCAGGGTTGTGGGTTCATTCCCACGGGGGCAGTATGAAAAATTAAATAATGTATGCAGGATAAGAGCGTCTGCTAAATGACAAAAAAAAAATCTCGGCACAGTAAATCCTGCTATGGTCCCCTCCCCTCTTCTCTCTCTCGCATATGAGAAGATCCTGCTCACTGCAGAGTGGCGAGGCACATGTCGGGTGACTCCTTCTACGTGCGTGTTCAACATGTCGTTACCCGGGGGCTCGCAGGACGCTCTGACCGTTTCCTGTAACGACATCCTCCACGTCACAAGCACCCGCCCAGCGGGCATCGACTGCTCCTGGAGGGCCAGCCACGTCCATCCTTGCCAACTGCTGGACCTCAAGACTGGCAACATGCCTAACTACTACAGGTACTGGGTCCAGTACCCACCATGGGGTCTTGGATTGTTGACATGGACTCTTTCTATCCTAGCCTGGTTCCAGATCTGTTTGTGCTATCTTACCAACTCCTATGACCACTATAGCACAGACAGATCTGGGACTAGGCTATATCTATCCCCCTCTGGAGAACTAACATGTGGTACATGTAATCTATGTTTGATACAAGGACATACTGTTAAGAATTACTGTAGGATTTAATTGGCCAATACATAAATTACATACTGTATAAATGATATTAGTGAAGATATGTTAATTGTCATTGCAGGGCCCAACGCCTGCTGATCAGAGCTATTGAGGACATGAGCTTCCAACCCATGACACTTAGAAAGGTAAAATCATTCACTAGTTTCATAGTTTGCAGAACTACTCTAACCAAAATCCAACTCGCTTTAGGGTTCTGAGTTACGGTCAAGTGACACTCCTTTCCCGCGAATGTGTGTGTTCCAAAAATGTTTGTTTTTGACGTTTCTAGAATGTGTTAACCGAACATTCATGAAGAAAATGTTGTAGTCATGTCATGTGAATATCCCTCAGAACCGCTGTCAAACGTTCGGGTTACCACATTGTTTGCTGGGTCCTCAGGCCCAGGAGAAGCAGAAGACGGTGAGGATTGTCAGTACTGGGAGACAGGGAAGGAATCCTCTGTGGGTCTGTGTAGAAGACAGCAAGGACAAGAGCACTGGGCCAGGTATATATCAGATACAGTCAAGGCTGGATAGGAAGTCATTTTTGTACACAAGAATATACAAAACATAACAGAGCCAGAACCATAGACGTCATATCGCAGGTAGCTTAGTGGTTAAGAGCGTTGTGCCAGTAACCGAAAGGTCGCTGGTTCTAATCCCCGAGCCGACTAGGTAAAAAATCTGTCGACGTGCCCTTGAGCAAGGCACTTAAGCCTAATTGCTCCTGTAAGTCGCTCTGGATAAGAGCGTCTGCTAAATGACTAAAATGTAAATGTAAATAACAGACTATCCTCCATGTTGGAGCCAAACCAAGTTTGCTAAACGGTGCATAAACATTGCTATGGCAGGTTTGATTAACTCCAGCGCTATGATATTACCATACCTATTAGGGCTGGGATGATACAGGTATCACGGCAAGTATCTTGTTTTCATTTTTGCGAAGGAAAAAATATTGCGAAACTGGTATCGTCACAGCTCTAACACCTATAATGCGTAGTAATAATGTCGCCTTAGTTATTGACCTGAACCTGGTGTGTCCTAATATTGTCCTCTCCTCTAGGGGATGCCTCTGCGCCCAGAGGCTGTGTGACCCTCATGCCCTACACCCTGGTCACGCCCCACTACCCACCCGTCTGCCGTCCAGTCCTCCTGCTACCCACAATCCTCGGCCGTGTCCTGGATAAGAAGCTGGCCGAGTGGCAGGGCTTTCAGTTGTGTGAGCCAGGTTAGGAAGGATTCTTTCTATTTTTTTCTTTTTTTTTCTGACGTTCTTTCTCTCTCTCTCCTTCTCTCTTTTTATTTTTTATTTCATCCAATAACTGCATATCCCCCCGCCCCCAAGCCCAGAGGGGAATTCCAATGAGATTATCTATTATTAGCACAGTAGCTGAAGGTGACGATAATAAAGATGAAATGTTTGTTTTCCTCATACCTGCTGTCTCACCATCTCCTTTAACTATCTCTTCCCCTCTCTCCCTCCCTCCCTCCCCTATCCCCAGAGTTATTGAGTTCCAGCGAGCACGCTGCCAGGCTGCAGAGGTCTGAGGTGCTGGAGGAGTGTGAACAAGGGGGTCAGCGGTGTTACACCCTGCAGAGTGTTGAGAGGGTCATAAAGCAGGTGGGATAGTCAAAATGCCACAACACTGTATTTGACATACTGATATTAGATATATATTTTTTTAATGGTTTATGACTTACTTGAACCGTTTTCCACAAACTATAATACCTCCCTTTTTTTCAGTGGCCCTGTTATTTGTGCAGCTGCAGTATTGACCGTACCGAAACTCCTCTCCTCTTCCTCATCTCCTCTGCTCTCAGGGTACCCACTGTGTGCTGCCTCTAGGCCTGGACTGTGTACGCCGCCTCCACAGGGCAGAGATCTTCCCCATCATCATCTTCATCGCCCAGTCCAAGTGCAGCGCACGCAAACTCAAGTAGGCCATTGTGTGACTTTTGATAAGAAATATGAATGGTAGCAATATTGTTCCATTGCCCCTTCTACATGATGTATCTTTGTGTTAATTTCTCTTCTCTCTCCCTCCATCTCTCCTTTTACCCTATTTGTCTTTTTCTACCTCTGGATTTTCTCTCTCTCTCTCTCTCTCTACTCATCACTCCTGTTTTTTCCCCCCTCCATCTCTCCTCCTGCCTCCTCCCCCTCTCTCCCAGGTCTAAGGTGCAGCGTCAGGGCTGGTCCGAGGAGCAGCTGCTTGAGTGTTCTCGCAGCGAGGAGCCCCTGCTGGACAAGCTGCCCTGCCTCTACCGCAGCATCAGCCCTGGCTCGTGGGGCGACAGCACCGCCCTGCTCACCACCCTGCGCTCCATCATCTGGGAGGAGCAGAAGAAGATTGTGTGGGTGGAGCCTGATTTGTGGTGATTTTAGGGCATCAGAGGGATCATTGTGAAGTTTGTTGAGGGGGCACTGGTGGCCAAATTGGATGTCTTTGAATTCCTTATTTGTAAAATAATTATTTGGAATATTTGTAAATGGATAAAACTGAGGAGGGTTGCAATAGGCATTACATACCTGGCCATTATGAGACAAGGCATATTAATCTGTAATGAAGGTATTATGAGGAGATGTAGGAGACGTGGTCCTCTGTAGCTCAGCTGGTAGAGCACGGCGCTTGTAACGCCAAGGTAGTGGGTTCGATCCCCGGGACCACCCATACACAAAAATGTATGCACGCATGACTGTAAGTCGCTTTGGATAAAAGCGTCTGCTAAATGGCATGTTATATTATTATTATTATGTACCTGCACTTTGGTTTAGCTTCATTAAGTTATTGTTGTTTTTTCCAACCTATATTTTCTTGTATTGTTTTTAGGAACAGTTTTTTCAAATATCTTTATTATCATAAAGATATGATGTTGTTATATACTGTGAATTGTATTGTATTATATACAGTATATATAATGTACTGTATTATATACAGGATTTCAACAAACCTGTGAAACCATAGTCTTACCCAAGTCACACCTGAAATGTAATGTAGACATTTCAGTCAGACTATGTTGACAAGATTTCTGACAGTTAAAGTTTCCATACAATGAGGGATTTAATTGCCTATACTGAAGTGTGCAACTCAAAGTAGGGTTGAAGTGTAATGATAGTAGGCATTATATGGATTTATGTTGGAACATGTTTTTAAAGCAGTGGTATTCAAAGTCTGGGTCTGGACCCCTATTGGGCTCGCGGGGGAACTGCAGTTGGGTCGCCAAAATAAAATGTATAATAATATATACAAAGAGTACAGATTATTTTATGGGACAATATACAAAGGTTTTTTGAGAAAGATCATTTGAAAAAAAAAATTGTATTGAGTAAAGGTATTTATTGATTTATTTTCATTTTGATAAGAGATTAAAATGCAATTAATTTAAGGTTATTTGTTGATGTAAACATTTTAATTTACAGATTTTAAGGTTGTGTCAATAGATTTGGGGTGGGGTGGGGTCGCGAGAAATGATTGGGGGGGGGGAAATGGGGTCCCCAGACATTTTTGAATACCACTTTTTTAAAGGTGACAAAGTAACTGGTATTACCTGTATGACGTTAACTCATATTTTAGTATGTATATGATGACTGTACACAGAGCTCAGGTATCATTGACCCTCAGTCACGCACTCTAGGAATGAGAATGAAGCATTGTCAAGCAGGGGTTTTCTCTTGTGCGACGGGTTTAGCCAACTTGATTTATGTCCAACTCCTCCCTCTCTCTTCCACCAACATCCTCTCATTATGATCTTTCCATGCCCTCCTAAATAACCACCAGGTATTCGGCACTGTCCCTGAGCCAGCTGTCTAAAACCTGCTTATTGTGTTATCAGTTTTGCCATCATTTTTGGTAAGAATGTTTACGATAATTGTCATCATAGATATAGGCTATGAAATTAATCAACAGATGGTGGTGGATTAGAGTTACGGCAATGCATGTTTTATTTTGTGTAATTGAAATTGTTTTATGATGTGTTTGTCTTGCCATACGATTGTTGCAAAATGTGTTTACAGATGCATTACAATCTTTTGGACACTGTAAGGAAATACTATTATATAAAATATATAATAACTTTGTAACTAAATACATTTTATTATGTTATTCCTTTAGTATTTGCACATTTATGTCAAAGCAAAGTCCTCAAGAAGAATATTTGGTTTGGTTTCTTCCAAATGTCATCATTAATTTTGGTAACACATGTAATTAATTAGCCTTTAAACTTGAAGTGTGCGTGTGCATGCACCAGGTACATTTTAACGGTTGATGCTCCAATGTAACCAGCAGAGGGAGCAAGATTAAAAGGTGAACGTAGGCTACACACAACATTTCTGTTTCTCCAATTTGTCGAACATATTGTGTTTTGTAAATTATGTTATAGCGTATTACTTATCCAACGTTTAGGTAAAGCAACAATTAAGCTCAACGTGGGAGTTTAGATAATTAGCGTATTTAGGAATTGTTGACAACGTTACTACCTGTGCCTGAAAACACAGGTAAGCTAGGTAGTTATGTTATTAACAAGCAAATTACTGTACCGGTATTTTAAAACTATGTCATAGCAATAGATACATTAAACACCAACAACATGGACGTTGATAGCAAGATTTGTATCGATCAGCTCTGAAAATAAATCTGATGTTAAAAGATCTGATGTGCTTGGTCAAACGACCAATTAGTTTAAAGAAATATCAGAATTGTCTGCCTGTGTGAACATAGCCTTTGATGCCTACCATTCACTCTTTCGCTCAAGGTGGGTACATGTGTATGATCTTAATTTGATCGCCCTGTTGCAGGGGAACCATCCTGCAATGCAGGAAATGTAAAACTTGTAGTGTATTTGGGGTTTTAAAAGGCTTCTGAAGTTTGTAATATCCACTTAGAAATGTCAGACTTTACTTTCACTTACGAAAAATGTAGAAACCCCTACAGAAATGTACATTAATTATTATCCACATAATAATCCTTTCGCTGCAGGATTATTTTCCTGCTGTAGAATACTCTCAAATTAAGCTCCGACACCTGCAGCCTAAAATTGGAGATGCATGCAGAACCGCTCGAACCTTACCGCCGTTCGTTCGTTTTTCTACCAAAATATTTTAGATGTGTGCTAAATGACTTTGTAATGATATAAAATAGTCAATTTAAGTATTTTACAATTGACAGACCTCATGACCATTACCTCTGGAATATAAATAACATTTTATGTGGTTTCTCACAAGATAAACATGCGATATGACATCATACTCATAACTTTGGAGCTGGGAGTTATTAGTTTTCACCACTTTCAAATTTAGCCTCAAATTAAAACTAAACTGTCAAACGTTGGTTTGGGTTTCGCTGCATTAACTGCATTCCTGCCTATAAATGTCAACGGCCACACGGGGGAGGCAGAAATAAATGAATAACCGTTTGTGGGAGTGGTTGAAAGAAAAAAGATGGTGAGAGAGGGAAGAGGGAAGATTAAGAGTGAGTGGGAAATAGATTTTGGGATTTCACCACAATGTGAAAACAGCATGTCTTTCCTATTTTATGTGCATGTGGCAGACTGGGCAGGCAATTCTCTGGCCATGTGTCAGGGTTGACTTCTCTGATATCCATCTACTGGCAGGAAAACAGAAGACTGAATCAATGTCCTCCTTTAGCTCTTGTGGTGATTATTGACTTGGTTGTTTTTTGTGAAGACTTCCAATGAATCAATTTCCCTCTGGAAGACGGTTTTGGCTCCACCAGGGTCCAAAATCCCCTCCAGTTGCCGAGAAACCACTCCAGTGATTTGTGTGATGTCGGAGTTCATTAAAGACAGTGACATGCCTGCACTGTGAATGCAGCCAAGACCCTGCCATGGAGGGGAGAGAAGGAGGAGGAGGCAGATTGGCCACAGTACACACACCCTATCCCCCATGCCTCACACACACTGTCTCCCTCACTCACACACACACACACACACACACACACACACACACCATGCCTCACACACAGACACACACTGCCTGCCCCCCACTTCCCCCACTCACACACGCATGCTGTCTTCCCCCCAACACCCCTGCGCCATAGGGCTAGTTTAAAATGCTTTGATTTTTTTATTTGTCCACGCTAGCTTGTGAACTGGGCTGGGTTTCAGCATTGAGGATTAAAGCAATGAAGAATGGGTTTGGCATCCTATTGTGTAGGATCAGGATTTGATGTTTAATTGATAGAGTTTGGATGTCGGAGCTGCAGGCATGTCACTTGCAATCACTCCAGATTTATTTCAGTGTGTCTGCACGCTCCCCCATGCCTCCTGTGCCTTTTTTCTATACTGGTTTCCTCTCATTTCACAGCACAGTCTATCATAGGAAATGGTTTCACAGCCAAGCATTGCATATTTAAACATGGGAGTGAAACCGTGGCTCTATTTGAAAACAACAGCCCACTCATAACTCATAACTAGAACTTAAACATGTGCTCTTCACTTCAGACATTACAGACCAAAAACACGTCGGAAAGTCGGAAAGAAACGCTCTCTCATTTTGACTCTTGCCGTTCGTTTCCTTTGGTACTGTGCCATGGCTCCTGCTGCTATGTGCTGTACAAGAAATTAAGGCTTGATCTTTCGCTCTCTCTTTCTCTCTCTCTGCTTCTCGCTCTCTCTCTCTCTCTCTCTCTCTCTCTCTCTCTCTCTGCTTCTCTCTCTCTCTCTCTCTGCTTCTCTCTCTCTCTCTCTCTCTCTGCTTCTCTCTCTCTCTCTCTCTCTGTTCTCTCTCTCTCTCTCTGTACAGCTACATTTCAATTTTTTCTCTCTCATCTACACTCCAGGTCCTCTCTCTCTCTGTCTCTCTGTCTCTCTCTCTCTCTCAATTCAATTTCAATTGAAGGGGCTTTATTGGCATGGGAAACATATGTTTACATTGCCAAAGCAAGTGAAGTAGATAGTAAACAAAAGTGAAATAAACAATACAAAATTTACATTAAACACTACACTCACAAAAGCTCCAAAAGAATAACGACATTTCAAGTGTCATATTATGTCTATATACAGTGTTGTAATGATGTGCAAATAGTTAAAGTACAAAAGGGAAAAAAAATAAACATAAATATAGGTTGTATTTACAATGGTGTTTGTTCTTCACTGGTTGCCCTTTTCTTGTGGCAACTGGTCACAAATCTTGCAGCTGTGATTGCACACTGTGATATTTCACCCAATAGATATGGGAGTTTATCAAAATTGGATTTGTTTTTCGAATTCTTTGTGGGTCTGTGTAATCTGTGGGAAATATGTGTCTCTAATATGGTCATACATTTGGCAGGAAGTTAGGAAGTGTAGCTCAGTTTCCACCTCATTTTGTAGGCAGTGTGCACAGAGCCAGGTCTGCCTTCGGTGGCCTTTCTCAATAGCAAGGCAATGCTCACTGAGTCCGTACATAGTCAACAATTTCCTTAGTTTTGGGTCAGTCACAGTGGTCAGGTATTCTGCCACTGTGTACTGTCTGTTTAGGGCCAGATAGCATTCTAGTTTGCAGTGTGTCAAGTAGTTATCTTTTTGTTTTCTCATGATTTGGTTGGGTCTAATTGTGTTGCTGTCCTGGGGCTCTGTGGGGTCTGTTTGTGTTTGTGAACAGAGCCCCAGGACCAGCTTGCTTAGAGGGCTCTTCTCCAGGTTCATTTCGCTGTAGGTGATGGCTTTGTTATGGAAGGTTTGGGAATCGCTTCCTTTTAGGTGGTTGTAGAATTTAACAGCTCTTTTCTGGATTTTGATAATTAGCGGGTATCGGCCTTATTCTGCTCTGCATGCGTTATTTGGTGTTTTACGTTGTACACGGGATATTTTTGCAGAATTCTACATGCAGAGTCTCAATTTGGTGTTTGTCCCATTTTGTGAATTCTTGGTTGGTGAGCGGACCCCAGACCTCACAACCATAAAGGGCAATGGGTTCTATAACTGATTCAAGTATCTTTTAGCCAGATCCTAATTGGTATGTCGAATTTTATGTTCCTTTTGATGGCATAGAAGGCCCTTCTTGCCTCTCAGATCGTTCACAGCTTTGTGGAAGTTACCTGTGGCGCTGATGTTTAGGCCGAGGTATGTATTGTTTTTTTTGTGTGCTCTAGGGCAACGGTGTCTAGATGGAATTTGTATTCGTGGTCCTGGCAACTGGACCTTTTTTGGAACACCATTATTTTTGTCTTACTGAGATTTACTGTCAGGGCCCAGGTCTGACAGAATATGTGCAGAAGATCTAGGTGCTACTGTAGGCCCTCCTTGGTTGAGGACAGCAGCACCAGATCATCAGCAAACAGTAGGCTAGACATTTGTCTCTCTCTCTTTCTTCCTTGCTGAGTGCTGACCCAC